TGACCAGGGGGTGGGCCTTGTTCCTGAGAAAGGATGCTCTGCTCTCAATCGTTCCTACAAGGGAAATGTTATTTGTCAGACACTGTACCGAACATGTGGCTGCAGAGATGAATGCTCCTGCCCTCAGCTCAGTCCTGTGCATCTAAATCATTAGAGCCCTGTGGGCAGTGTGTATGAATAAGCACCATACCGAATGGCGCAACTTGCTTCAGCCCAGAGTGGCCTGGGGAGCCCATGTACCTGATGTTGGGCCACACCCGAACACTCTGCCCTTGACCTTGTGAGACACGTGCTCAATGAATCCCAGTTCCAATTATGTTTCCCAAATTCATTCTGAGCTTCACATGTTTTGATTTCTAATTTTTTAAAAAAGAAATCCCATTCTCTCTGTCTGTGTTCTTCAGGCCTTTTTGCTTAGCATTGCAGTGTTGTTTAGGGGTGGTATTTATTTTTATAGGTCAGATGGATCCACTCACAATTCATTATGATAGCACAGGCCTCACTGGTCCTAGGAGTCCTTATCTGTTGGGGGAGGAGTCTCCTGGTCCTATGACAAGAGCCTGCAAGTACCACATTCAAACCAGAGCCAGGGGTCAGTTCTTGGATCTGACTCAGCCCTAGCCCCAGAATGATAAATGGTGACACACTTTGCCCAAGCTCTTCAGTTTCTACATTGATTTCAGGTCCTCTGCCAAGCACCATATGGTTTCCCAATCCCTGTCATTTCTAGCAATGTTCTCCCTAAGTAGGGCACTTTGATTAAATTGGTTCCACTGAATTGTGTAAAAGGTGGAGTTTTGATGTTCTTTGTCACTGCTATTGTTAGTAATTAATATGTCTATTAATAGAAACATCAACAGAGTTAGGAAGTGGGGGAGGAGGTTTAGAAGGTGGTTGTATTCTGTTAAGCCTCTCCTTTGCCAGATAAGAAGGGAGAGAATAAGCAATCCAGTAAAATCCTATGGCTTTTGACTAAACTTTGTTGGAATGTGTGCAGCCTCTTTCTGCTCCCCAGAGGAAGGGAGGAGAGGTGGCAGTGCTCCTAGGGCCAGCTCAGAAACCAAGCTCGGGCTTTGAACACAACCAGCAGCAACAGGCTACTAAAGTCTTGGGTTTTGTATGCATGTGTACCATAATTTCATTATTTTGAAGTAATTAAGCTGGCTTTTTTAAAGAAAAGCTTCAGATTTGTCCTGATTTGCAGTCTTCCCCCGCAATCCCTTTTGAGTAAAGCTTTGCAGGATGACTGAATTCTTAGAAGGACAGGGAAGATTGTCTGAGCATGTCTGGCCTCTCTTTAGTTCCCCTGAGAGACTGCGTAACTCCTTGGGCAGCTCACCTCCTCCAGAAGGGCAATAGAAGCTCAGGAAGACGGGAGGCTTTCTCAGACCCGAAGGGCCTCCTCCTTCTTAGAATCCAGAAGAAACGAGAGACCTTAGAGAGGAGGGTAGAGGTCAAGCTAAAGAAAAAGGCCAGAGTCCTAGCTGGGTTGTGTGAAGGGTGAGAAAGAAAGCAGAGATTGGCAAGCAGAATTTGGTTTGTGCACAGGGCAGGTGGCTACCAATGTATGCTCTTTGAGACTTGAAGCTATTTTAAATATGTTTAAAGACTTAAAGTAAATCATGTCTAAAGAACTAAAGGAAAGTATGAGGATAATGCCTCACCAAATAGAGAATACCGATGAAGACAGAGAAATTGTAATAAGGAACCAGACAGAAATTCTGGAGTTGAAAAGTACAATAATGGAAAAGAAAAATTCACTAGACAGGCCCAACAGCATATCTGAACAGGCAGAAGAAAGAACTAGCGAGCCTAAAGATCAGTCAATTGAGGTCACCCAATCTGAGGAACATAAAGAAAGAAAGAATGAACAATAATACACAGAGCCTCAGAAACCCGTAAGACACCATCAAGCATGCCAAACACACGTAATGGGAACCGCAGAAAGAAAGGTGAGAAAGAAGTAGAAAGAATATTTGAAGAAGTAAGGACCAAAATCTCCCCCAGTTTCATGAAAACTATTAATCTGCGCATTCAAGAAGCTCAACAAACTCCAAGTGGGATAAACTTAAAAAGATCCATAGCTGCACACATCAAAATGAAACCTTTGAAAGACAAAGACAAAGAATTTTGAAAGCACGAAGAGAGAAACAATTCATCAAATACAACGTTCCTCAATGATACCAACGGCTAATTTTACATCAGAAACCATGAAGGCTGGAAACAGTGGGATGGCACAAAGTTCTTAAAAAAACAAAAAAAGCTGTCAATCAAAAATTCTGTATCTGGCAAAACTATCCTTCAAAAATGAAGGATAAATTAAGACATGTGCAGATAAACTGAGAAAGTGTACCTCTAACAAGAGCGTTTGTCTCTAACAAGCCTGCCCTACAAAAAATAGTAAAAGCAATCCTTCAGGCTGAAATGAAAAGGCACAAGATAGTAATGTGAATCAACATGAAGAAATAAAGAACACTAGTAAAATAAATTATGAAGTCAGATATAAAACACTACAAATTTATTTTGTTGTTGGTAACTCTTTTTCCTGATTTAAATAAAAAACTGCATAAGGCAATAATTATAAATGTATGTTGATGGACACAAAATGTATAAAGATGAAATTTGTGACAATAATAGCATAAGGGAGGAGACAATGGGACCACTTTAGAGCAACATTTTTGTATACTTGAAATTAAGTTGGTATTAACATGAACACATGGTTATAAATTGAGATATTAATGGTAATCCCCAGGGCAACCACCAAGAGAATAATTCAAAAATATATAGTAAATGAAATAAGAGAATTAAATAAAACATCTATTTAACATAAAAGAAGGCAGTAATGAAAGAATACAAGATTTAAAAAGACATATGATATATAGAAGATAAATAGCAAAGTGGCAGACAAATCTTACTTTTTCAATTATATTAAATATAAATAAATTAAACTTTCCAATTAAGAGATTGGAAGAATAGATTTAAAAAACACGATCCAACTATATGCTGTCTGCAAGAGACACTGTAGATTTAAAGATACAACTAGATTGAAATTAAAAGGATGTAAAAGATATACATTGCAAACAGCAATAAAAAGAGAGCCGAAGGGGCTACACTAATATCAGATAAAATCAGCACAGTGGCTCACACCCATAATCCCAGCACTTTGGGAGGCCGAGGCAGGCAGATCACCTGAGGTCAGGAGTTCAAGACCAGCCTGGACAACATGGTGAAACCCCGTCTCTACTAAAAATACAAAAAAATTAGCTGGGCATGGTGGCGGGCACCTGTAATCCCAGCTACTTGGGAGGCTGAGGCAGGAGAATCGCTTGAACCCAGGAGGCGGAGGCTGCAGTGAGCTGAGATCGCACCATTGCACTCTAGCCTGGGCAACAAGAGGGAAACTGCATCTCAAAAAAAAAACAAACAAAACTCAAGTTTGAGACAAAAATTGTTACCAAAGACAAAGAAGGACACTTTATAATGAGAAAGGGTCAGTCCATCCAGAAGAAATCACAATTATAAATACATTTGAACCTAGCAAGAAAGCCCCAAAATACATGAAGCAAACTGAGGTCTTTGAGAGTAGAGAAGGCAGCTTTGTCCTAAATGTTTGACTTCTATAACCCATTATAGTGGTTAATATCCTATCACTAGGGACTCGTTCCTTTGAGTTAAAGGTTTGCCTCCCTTACAGTTCTTTGTTAAAGTATAAATATGGCCCTGGACGCCACCAATTGTGTTGTAATTCCATTTAGCTGAAGTTGGTTCAAGCTCTGTTGGAGCAGTGACTGATAGTGACAGAGACAAATGGTTGAGCCACTTTTGACAGACTCTGTAGGTATGGCCTGGCCTGGGCCCAGGAGGCAAGCAGGGAGAAGAAGCCTCTCCGAGTGGGTAGAAGTATTAAGAATGGAGAAAGAGTACAGGATGAGGAGCAGGGAGCAAGCTAAGGTATCACAGGGGAACAAAAAAAGTCCCACAGAGAGTGTGGGGTGAAACAAATGCTAGACAAGGAGCAAAGCAGCTGGGGCACTGGGTTGTGATGAGGTTCTTGGTTTGGTAACTCAGGGCTGAGGGCAGCATCTGTCCCTGGAAGAAGCAAAAGGTGTAAGAACAGGGAGCAGGCGAGAGCCAGGGATGGCAATGAGCACAGGCCATTCACTGGTAAATACCCAGGAGTGGTGACCAGGTCTGAGCTGCCGAGTGGTTCCTGGAGCACCACAGAGAGGGAGGGAGAGAGGACTGGGTGCTGGGATCAGGCAACAGGCCCTGGAAGGCTATAGGCACTGATAGAAAAACCAGAAACCTAGGAAACTCATAGGAACAAAGAACAGCAAGAGGCAAGCCAGACACGAGCTCAGAACTCGGGCAAACGGATGCTCAAACGAGGTTGTGTTTGTGAACGTGCCCAGTTCTGGGCAGATGCTTAGTAACTGTTAGCTGGTTCTAAAAATAAAACTGAAGCAAGGCAAGTGGCCAGGATAGCAACTCGATGTTGGCAACAAAAATAGCCCCTACTTATTAACACCTCTTATAGTCTGGGCACGTTGCTAGGTACTTTATATTCGTGACCTCATCTAATACTAAAATGACCCTGTGAGGTACACGTTGAAAATTTCAATCTACAGATAAACGTGGATCCTGGTTAAGCGACTTGCTCAAGGCCATTACAACGATGTGAATGACACAGAGCCAAAGGTTTCTCTGGCAGCCTCTGGGCCAGAGTGACAGCCCAGGGTGGCTCTGATCAACATGGTGGCTTAAAAGGAATGGGAGGAGGGGAGCTGACAGCTGGGGACAAGGAACTTCTCAGAGCTCCTCTGGAGTCCCAATCCTCCACTCTTTTTTTAAAGACAGAATCTCATTCTGTCCCTCAGGCTGGAGTGCAGTGGCACCATCACAGCTCACTTTAAACCTCAAACTTCTGGGCTCAAGTGATCCTCCTGGCTCAGCCTCCTAAGTAGCTAAAGCTACAGGCTCATGCCACCATGCTCTGCTAATTTTTTTTTTTTTTTGTAGTGGGAGGGTCTTGCTATGTTACTCAGGCTGGTGTCAAACTTCTGGTGTCAAATGATCCTCTGGCTCAGCTGGGATTACAGGTGTGAGCCACCACACTCGGCCCTCTCCTCTTTTTAAAAGGGGGATTGGGGAAGAGAGTATCAGAGGCCTGAAGATCCACCCTGTTCCTTTCTCTCTCCTTTGAAGACTCATGGTGATCTACCCCACATGCCAGGAGGCCAGGCACTAAGGCACTAGGGCCACCCTTTCCTGCCCTAAACCTTGCATGGCCTGTTTCTAAATGGAAGAATGCAGCGGAAAGCAGGGGCAAGGAATTAGGAATAAAGACATTTGTGGGCTTAGGAAACCCCAGGAATGGTCTGCTTGCCCCATAAATCCCAATAGCTATAGCTGCTGTTTGTCAAAAGCAGAAGAGTGAGTTTACTTTCTCCACAGCCACCATGACCTTCTATCCTTCCTTTCCCTTCACGCACATCACACACACACACACACACACACACTGGAGGGCCACCTCTGGGTGACCCATGCATCCCCTCTCCCTGCCTCATCCTAGTAATGGGACCATCACCACTGCTCTTCCCTAGGGGAAGGGAGTTTCCTGTGAATTCTCTTTAACCTTGGACTGGGGTCCAGGGCCAGCCGATGATGGAAAATAAACACGTCATCCTGTGCATCTGAGCAAGAAGAGCTCAAAGCATCAAATATCCAGTCCCTTCATTTTACTGACGTGGTGGGGGCCAAGGAGGGAGTGGGCTTGTTTAGGGTCATGAAGCACCTCCTGGTACCCAGTTGTCATTTTTGTTCGGCACCCTCCATGGGCTCTCTGGTTCCTGCAAGTGCTCAATGAAAGAGAAGTCTGCAAAAAAGAGGTAGGTACTTGCCTGGGGACCCCGAGAGCCTCTGTTTTGGGAGTCTGGGAGGAGGCTATTGGAATACCTTGAAAACTCTGGCCAGTGGTCTCTCCGCCGTCCATGTGGCTGTGTGGGGTTGTCTTCAGCTATCTTGTTGGAAGCCTGTGGACACTTTCTGCCCCTCTCCCTCTCTCTGTGCCCCACTTGGGTGTGGACTACCCACTTTCCTGTGGGGGCCTGGGTCTGCAGGCCCAGTGATCGGCATTTATCTTTGTAATAACTTTCATTCGACTTCCTACTCAGGGCAAGAGTACTGTGACAGCTGGCTAGTGATGCCAGAGCTGGCTGGGAACTCACCACCACCCAACTGCAGGAATCCCACGGGGCCCAGATCATTCCCCCAGTCCAAGTGCCCTGTGCTATTGCAATCGGGGGTGCTGAAGCCAGCAGCTACATTCTGTTCACTTCTCAAACACCAGCAAAATGTCAACATCACAGCCACACTGAAAAAAAAAAAATACAGTGTTCTGAAATAAAGTAAAAGAAAATAAAATGAAGTCAGTAACTACGGCCCTCGCGCTGGGCCCCACTGCCTGCGTGTCAGTCTACCCTGTTAATCATCACGTATGATTTTTCAAAGAGCTATTTTGAGAAACATTTAGAAAATGGCTTTTCTATAGCTATATATACCTCATTTGTACCCTCCAGAAATGGTCGCTCTGTTTAGCAGCAGATGGCTTTTCTCCACTAGTTTTCCTTTCATTTCTCAGTCAAAGTTAAGTGGGAAGTCAACCCACCCCCTAACCCCAGGCGTACACTTATCACCCACAGTCCACCCTGGAGTCAGGGTTGTAGGTGGGGGGCAAGGATGAAAGGCTGTCGGTTCTCCCTAAGGCACCGTTCCAGAAAACCCAAGGGGACAAAGGCAGCGGGCGTGGTGCTGAGAGGGAAGGCTCAAAGCTGGGAGTAAGGAACGAGCAGAGCCCCCGGGCCGGGGGTAGAAGAGAATGTGGCCGCCCTGGTTTGCTGCAGTCAACAACCCGGGTATCTCGAGGTCCGCGAAGCAGGTATAAAAGTATCCCTTTGGCCGCTGGGGAACAGGGGCCAAGCAAGATTAACCACCCTGGCAGCACCTGAGTGCTGGACCTTGGCCTGCAGGAAGCCGCAAGTCGGCCCCACATGGTTGTCATGGCAACAGCAGTGCTGAGGCTCCGAAGGGCAAGGGGAGGAGAAGGGGGGTGGAGAAGGCACGTGGTGGCTTTTCTAGAAAAGCCCATCTGTTTCTTTCCCTTAGGAAACTAAGTCAGGGAACACAACAACAGTAACAACGAAGGAGGGATGGGCATCTGGGGTCTGGAAAGAGAAGAGACAGAAAAGACTCTGAGATGCCCCAAGAGCAGCTCTCCTGATGGGATGCGCTTCCCTTCCTTTTGGGGGAGGCGAGTGACTGACAAAGAAAAGGACTGGGCGGGCCCCCGTGGGCGGCATCTGTGCAGGAGCCGTGTGCAGGATCAGGGCAGGCTCTGTGACCTCAGGCTTGCTGGGGGCAGTCCTGGTAAGAGCCTATCAGCCACAGCAGGATTTCTTCTTAGCAGGGTGGCCGACCTGAATGGTGTCCTCTCTCACTGTGTCTTCTTGCTCCTTGAGGAACCTGGGAGAGGGGAAGAGATAGCGTCAGTGATGGAGAAGTTGATGGGCCCGGGGCTGGCAACCTGGACCAGCCACCCTCAGGTTACAGGCCATCTGGGCCATACAGAGAGAACCCACCCTCACCACGGCATCAGAGAGAGTCCTGAACATCTCCCCTGGACAGTACAGGTGCACAACTGTAATTGTAAAGCCAGAGAGTTTAGTCGACATGGATCCTTCAAGACGTCTCCTCCAGGAAGCCTCTCCTGATCCTCTAGGTAAGCCCACGTGCCCCTGACAGCATCTGACCCTTCCTCTGTCATGACCCCACCACCCAGCGTCACAACGCGTGGCTTCCCCGGCTGTCTCCCTCGGCCGAAAATGAGTTGCTTGGGACCCAGACTTCTCTTTGGTCTCTGTGCCTCTGCAGCCTATCACAGTCACCAGCACACAGGCGAGGCTCCAAAATATACTGATGGGTTGTGACCTCTGCAGTAGGGCTGTGCCATGTGGCCAAAGCTCCAGATTAATTGTAGGAGGTGAGGAATTAAAAATACTGGTGAACACCTTGTCTCTGCTTTATACTTTCAAAACGCTTTTGCATTACACATCTCCTTTGATTCTCTCAACAACCTGTGAGTGGGCAGGGAAGGAAGGCATGACTGGTGTTCCTACCTTCCTGACAAGCCTCAGAGCGGCAGGGCGTTTGCCCAGGGAGTCAGGGGCAGAGAACAGACCAGAATGTTTCCTTCTGATACTCCATAACCCCATCACCTCGCCAATGCAGAGAGGAGTTGTTGTGTGCTCTTAATTACTCAAAGAAAAATATTTTTAAATGCCCCAGAATGAGTGCTGAGCACAAAATGGGCTCTGTTAAGTGTTTATTGGATGGATGAATAGATGGAATGAAATGACGGCCTAGATGGATGAATGAATGAGTGGACGCTTAAGTATTGGAAATGAGTCCCAGCGTGGTTTTGTTGTTTAAATTTCTGGTGTAGGCAGGGCCTTAAGGAACCAGTCTTTTCATGTTACCAGCATCATTACCTTGGTTACCTCCCATTGATTCCCCATCACAGCCCCTCTTCTTTCTGGTTTCTACACCCACTCCTTCCTCCCACACCCAGGAACTCACATTATAACCCAATCTTGCCCCCAGCTGGCTTCCAGCTAGTCCCTGCTAAGACTTCAGCCAGTGCTGAGGAGCCTCTGATCTGACCTTTCCCAGAAGGATTTGCATTTAAAAAGAGCATCCCTAGGAAAAGGCAGCCTTTAAGACTCAGAAGAAGACTGCAATGAGGGCGACAGGCAGGGATGCTTTCTTTCCCAACAGCACTGTTTCAGAAAGCTGTTCCTGATGTTGCAATCCCATACAAAGGCCTAGGACCCCATTGCCTGTACTCAGAGGGCTCGGGCCAATAGGGAGGAAAGGGGGTCAGAGGCGTGGCCTGGGTGGCGGGAAATACGGTACCTCCCTGAAGGCAGACACAGCTGGACACAGCAGTTACTGCACCTGGGGAGCACGTCTCTTTACCTGGCCAGATGGAGCAGGGACTCTTTGGTGTTGTGACCAGAGTAGGCGCTGCATTCATAGAAGATCAGATTGTTGTCCTGGAATCATAAAACAGAGTGAATACAAGAGTACTGGAGTGAGAGGGGACTGTGGGGGGTGGTGGGAGAGCCCCCTTGTGCATCTACCTACAGCCTTCGCTTCCTCTCGCAGGCTCCTTGACCTCCTCATAATCCTTCCTCACTCTGTACATGGCTGATTTCTGTCTCCACAGGCTCCCTGACTAATGCAAGCTCTGTAACCATCTCCCAGGTGAGCTATAACAATTGTAAAACAACGAAACCGTATGCTGTCTTAGTGCCTCTTTATACTTTCCCAAACTACTGTCAAGTACACACATGCTCATTCCAGGTTACACCAGCTCTGTGACTCAGGCAAAGACACAGAGGCCAGGGCGGGCAACATTCTTCCCCCTTCACAAGCAGGCAAGCTGCTGTGACAGAGGGCACTTGGCTGGCTCGTTCAGTCCCACAGTGAGTCAATGGCAGAGCTCCTTGCAGCATGCTTTCCCCAAGACAGTGGCACTCCATAGGCCTCGGGGACAGGTTTCATGAGGCACTTCAGTAGGAATTCTCTTTCACCCCAGTTAATTAATACTCTAGCTGCCCTGGCTGTCAGCACTGGTGCACTGGACTGGCCATCAGCTCATTAGGATGAGGTTGTGCTGCCTGCATGGTGCGGGAGCCCTTGGCTAAGGCTCATCGTATTCCACTGATCACTCCCATTAACAGATGACTGGTGTCATGACGACAATGCTGATGGCACAGGGCCCTGGTTTTAGATGGCCTCTTCTTGGAGGCTGATGCCCTGAGGGGATGCAGGCCAGCTGAGCGAGGACAGTTCTGTGGCTGTAGCTCAGGAGGCTCTGCCATACTCCCAATGCAGCTTTCCCCACCTACACCCACAGGCAGCTCCGCCCTCTGCCCCTCTCACCCAGCCCCAGGGGCTCTCTCTCTCCCTGTCTGCCTTTCTCTCAGATCTGCCATCTCTTGGGTCAGTCTGTCAAAGAGTAGAAGTTCCATGGGGTGGGAATAGTGGGGAGAGAAGGACATAGGACTTAGAACTGGAAGACATGATTTGCCTTCCTGCTTTGAGTTCTGATCCCACCTCGGATGAGCTGTGATAATACGAATATATCACGTAACTCCTGAGTCTCAGTGTTTTTTTTTTTCACCGACAAAAAGAAAGAAAGAAAGAGAAAGAAAGAAAGAAAGAAAGAAAGAAAGAAAGAAAGAAAGAAAGAAAGAAAGAAAGAAAGAAAGAAAGAGACTCTTTAGGTCCAGGTGTATTTTGAAATCCAGAATTTTCCGAATCTTAGAAAGGTAATACATGTATATATTATGTATTATATAACACCCTCAGTGGATTTTAGACAGCACTCTATAATCAAATTACTATATTACTATTGTTTCAGTGAGACATTTGAATAGTCACCTTTTCAAAGCGAGGTTACAACCATGAATAGCCTCATGTCATTTCTGGTCAGATTTTTCTGCCAGATAAAATGCAGAACAGCCCTTTCTGTTTTCAGAGCTTTTCGGATTTTGGAATTGTGGACATGTAACTGTCTAGTGACCCTCCATGTAGACACCTGTCAGGCCCTTCCTCCTCCTTTTTCCTTGAGTCTTACCATCTGTGCTTATTCTCCCAGGCTCTGAACTCATGAAACCCTGTTTAGGACGAGCATGCGAAGAATTACAGAATCATGGGGCTGGTAAGCACCCCATCCTTCCAGACACACAGTTTCATGAAAACCAAACTCTGAGGCAGTAAAAGAAGCCAAGGAATCATGCTTTGTTGCCTGATTTCTGTTAAGCCCCATTGATTCCATTTTTGGGTAAGAGGCCCCATGCTTATTTTAATGATAGGTTTTCCAGTGTGTCTCCTGGGTTTATCTTGAGTTCACAACTTTGAGGCTCCATCCTGACAGAAAGGATGAACTCTCTAACACAGTGGTCTACAGAAGAACACACTGCTTTACAGACAGTGAGCTTCTCATCCCTGGGGCTGATCAAGTGGAAATGCAGATTGGAGGGGGATTGAAATAAGTAAACTTTTGCTATCTTAGAATTTATAATTCTGAGTTACAAGGAAGGGACTTTAGGATAATTCCCCATACCCTATGGTCCCTAACCAACCCCATCTTGCAACCTGTGGTTTTCTATGCAGAGTTCTACATGCACAGGAGCTGGGCCACTCCCATGATGCCAAGACACCCATCTTTCCCAGTTGCTCCCTTCCCATGGCACTTCCAGAGAAAGTCCCCACCAAGGCTCCTGGGCACTTGCCCGACTTCCCTCAGGGTTACACTCTGTCGCTTGCTCTTTACCTTGGCAAGCTGCTCTCCGAGGCCCCGGGGGACTTCCCGCTCTTTCTCGTTGTCAAGCTTATTACCCAGCAGAAGAACAGGAACCCGGTCTCCCACAGCTTCCTGCAGAACAGAAAATGTTTTCAACTGAGAGGGGTGTCACAGGATTGCCCAGAGGGCAGACTGACAATGTCAGCTGGACAGATGGGACCTGGCTTGAGAATGCCCTGCTGCCATAAAAAGTGAGGCCGTAATAGAATCATCCTGAAAGCAGAAAACAGCCGCCTTCTCCAAGAGCCTCAGTTTATCACACTTCTGCAAGGTGCCCCAGGCCTGCCTGTGCTGTCTCCCAGTCCCTGTGTGTGCAATGACCACTCCCCCTTCACGATGCTCCTTGGATCTTAGATGGAACAGCAGGCTCCCAGGTGTGCTGGATGAGGGGACAGTTGATGCCAACAGGCCACATGCCCCCTTCCAGGGCATTCCTAAATGGCCAGGCTTAGTCCGATGGACCAAGGCCATGAATGCCCCATGGCTTGGAGTTGTTCTGGAGGCTGCTTTGATTAGAAACTGTATCACCAGAGGCCTCATGATAGCACATAAGCTTCTGAGGGTTGGATCCAAATCTGCCTCATGGTCTTGCGCCCACAAGGCTCCATAAATGACTGCCATGTGCCTTTCTGGAGGCGGGCACCACAGACCCCTGTCACTGGGTGCTCTGGCTCTGAAGAAAGCCCTGTATGAGAAGGAATGCTGTGGCCATAGCAGCTGCACTGCTTGGGCCAGAAGTCACAGGTTTATTCAAGGTTATCACACTGTTTACTCCCGCAGTGGCTGTGGCTTACCAGCCAGGGGCCTCCTCTCGGGTCTCCGCCTCCTCCCTGGTGAAAGGAGCACTGTAGGTATCTCTCCTGAGGGCGCCCAAAGGGCCCGGGACCACCGACTGCCATTCAGTGAGTGAATGTGGTAATGTGCACATTGAAGAAGGTTGTTATTTTTACTTAAATATTTAATTAGGGGCTTTTAATCATAATTTAGTAACAAATAGTTATTCATTGTAGCTAAATGTTTTACTAAATAGAGGGACCTGTGGGATAACAGAAGCTAATAAGCAGTTACAGTTTTGCCAATACTTTAGCTGCTTTACTTGAGCATTTCAAATAAATGTCCAAAGTCCATCTTACAGGTATACCGATTTTAAGTTTAAATGCTATTATGTTTGAAATTAAGCCTCAATGTTTCCTTAATCTGTGCATTCATTTTTACTGCAGTTCAATAGGGGGAAAAAATTCTTATTTACCAAACGAGAAAGTTAAGGCTCAGAGAATCCAAAAGAACCTTCAACACCATAAGCACTGAATCATGAGAACTCTTGAGTATATGGGTCCTCATTCTTCAGCCTTTTCCTCTAGATTCTTATTTCCAATCAAGTCTCTGCTACTTAGTGTCTTATTAACTGGAACTCTCTAAACATGGTATCTATTGGTGAGATGATAATGTGTGTTTGCAATGATGACTCAAAGGCACTACAAGATCTTAGAGTGTCTTCTGACCCCTCAAAAATAGATTAAATTCTGGACACTGCAGTTGATGTGCTAAGTGGATTGTACATATTCCAACTACTTGAAAGTGAGAAAGCCACTCATGGCATATATGAAATCCTGTGGCCCCCCTATTAGCTAGAGCGTTCGCTAATGGGAACACCCCCTCCTCTGACCGTGCTGTGCCACACGATACTTGTGTGAAGAGCTTTTCACGGAAAGGGAAGAAAGGAGGAGGAAGCAGGGAAATGGGCCAAGCAGCTTGCTGTTTAGAGCACATGGGAGAGAGATATTTGTAGATTTATGTGTGAGGAATGATTAAGGCTTGTGGGATTTCTTGACATGGAAACTCTGAAAATATGAGCATCAGACTTGAAATCCCAGGGCAGAATTCTACCCCGGGTTTTGTTATTATTTGGAATGGGCGATGGCTTGCAGAGGGGATGATGGATACTGAATGACCCAGTAGGATGAGGTAGGGAATGGGTCATAAACCCAACATCTGGGTCCTGTGCACCATAAACAGCAATGGTGCCTCTTCCCTCCTGGGAAAAGAAAGGGCAGGTTTCTTCTTTTCTGGGGGGGGGAGGCCGAGGTGGGTGGATCACAAGGTCAGGAGTTCAAGACCAGCCTGGCCAAGATGGCAAAACCCCATCTCTACTAAAAATACAAAAATTAGCCGGGTGTGGTGGCGGGTGCCTGTAATCCCAGCTACTTGGGAGGCTGAGGCAGAGAATTGCTGGAACCTGGGAGGCAGAGGTTGCAGTGAGCCGAGATCCTGCCACTGCACTCCAGCCTGGGTGACAGAGCAAGACTCTGTCTCAAAACAAAAAAACAAAAACAAACAAAAAACAAAACAAAACAAAAAAACACCAAAGCAATTCCTGGATATAAAAATAAAGGAGCTTAGAAGGAGCAGAAAAAAAAAATTAAAAGCAAAGCATCCAGCAGGAGCTGTGGTTTCTTTGTATTGTTCTTTTCTTACGCAGCCACTCTGGACAACTCGTTTCCCTGCAGGGACCCTGGCCTGCCACCGAGAAAGGAGAATTAGACTCATCTCCAAAGATTTGGCAAAAACAAATGAGAATGTCCATAAGACCAGAGAGTGTGCTAACTATCACAGTCAGTCACCATCTCCCCGGCCCGGGTCTTCAGTCTCTGGCACAGGGCAGGGAGAGGAGCTGGTCTTGGGGTAGGTATCTCCTGGTCCTCTCTGACTTCAACCCCAAAAGTCTTGAATTATCTGTCTAAACTTTATACCTTTCTCATACCTAACTAGGTTTTCAGCCTGCATGCCACTTGGCACGAGATGTTCAAAATTACCTCCTCGATGAAGCAACATCTCCTTCAAGCCTCCTAGGGCTTTGGTGAACAGGTCTCAGGTCTACTCGAACCCTGATGTTGAGACTGTGAGAGATGTTGGTAAAAATCCCGTCGGTGTGACAGGTTGCAGTGAAGTCATCTCAGCTCCTTCATCGGGCACACAATCTCTCTTTAGGAGACGTGGGTTCTGCCCTAGCTCTGTCACCATCTCTCCATGTGACTCATCTGAGTCTCTCCTCTTTTCTGTGTCTCTCTGTTCTGAAGCCAGGTTCTGTTCTATGACCCTCTAACAGAGAGCCCTCCCTCCACCTTCAGTCATTTCAGCTGACTTTCTGTGAACTTGAGCTTGTTGGAAGACAGACTTGTTGAAATTCAAAAGATCACCCATCTCTGACTTTAACAAGAGCTGTCAACTTGCAGCCGTGGATTGGCATTCAGCTCAGAATGTGCAGCTGTTGGGCTTGGTTGGTTGTTGCCTGTGTGCGTGTGTGTGTGTGCGTGTGCGTGTGCGTATGTTTTAATATCTATTTGGTAGGAGGCATGAAAAAGCACTTAGCTGGGATAGTGCTGCTATTTCTCTGGAGCCAGAGCAAGAATTTTTTCAGCACATTAAAGCATGCAGTTATGCTAAGAAAAAAATGACTGCAAAATTATATCTTGGGGGTTTCCATATTTATCCATCCCCTGGACTATGAGTCAAAACAAGATTTATTTGTGTGGTTCGTTTTAAACTGCCAGCACTTCAAGCTCAACTTGGAACGTGGAGAAAAAAAAATCAAACTATTTTTTGCACCATGCTGTACATTGTTACCAATGACAAAGATCGCAGAATGAGGTTGAGCTAGCAGCCCAGGAAGGGAGAGGGAAGTGGGCCAGGACCCCTTGAGCTGAAGAACTGTCCTGCTTTGAGAGAGAAGCAAGAAGGACTGAAAAGTAAATGAACACCTGCTTTTCAGGAGCAGATTTCAGCCATGGACCACAGGACGAGAGAGAAGCAGTGCAGTGTGGCAAAGCCCTAGCTTCTGCATCGGGTGGTGCTGCTGACAAGTGTGGGCGCCTCTGGGAAAGTCACTTCCTCTTTTTGGATCATAGTTTTTCTTACTTATAAAACAAGAGGTTGCATTAGATTAATCTCCATGTTTTTTTCCAGCTCGGAAACACTGGTCTATTCGGCTTAACTCTGCCAATTCTATTTCACTTCCTCGACTTATATGCCTAGCAATCTAGTGCTATCAGAACGGCAAGAGGCTCTCAACAAGAAGTTCAGCATCCCAGGACTGCAGACACTGGGGGCCAGCAATCTGGCTCTGGGGGAAATACCAGCCCATACAGGCTTGTACAGGCTGGCGTTCTAAATTCTATTTTCTCTAACCGACACAGGCCCCAGAGTCTCCTGATGTCCAGTTTGTCCCATGGCCACACATGGGGCCTTAGAGCCTGACTAGTTTCTTTTCCAGATTGGAATGGTTAAACCAATTCTACCCAACTGAGATAAGAAATCGGGGGTGGGTTGGAAATGCCGAGTTGGCTGAAAGACTGCCTGCAGTGACTTCCCATAAGGCACTCCGGAGAATCGGCACAGAGTGCGTCTGGGCCCTGCTGGGGCCTCTTCTGCAGAAGGCCTGCAGGCAAGATCAAGTTGTCTGGGCTGGGTGAAATAGCAGAACAAGGGTAAGGCCACAGCCTTCCCACCTCATCAAGCAGCACCGGTGCTCTCTTGCACCAAAGGATTTTGGTTCCCTCTGGGCTGGAAGGACCCTCCAGAATCTTCTCACCACACACATTCCTGCTCCGTCTTGGCCTCCCAGAGACAGAGTCAGATGCCATCATACACTGTAGAATTTGGGGGCCAGGAGGGGGCATTTGGTCTGCTTCCTCGTTGAATGATTGGCCAAAGTTTCATGGCCAGGAAGTGACCAAGATGGGATAGTAAGAACTTCCTTTCAGGGAGCTCCACTACCTCCCCCGAGCATCTGTTCCCACCCCACACAACCTCTTCCAAGAGTAAGTCTTTCCCATGCAGGCACGTACAGCCACGGAAGCCCTTTTCTCTTGTATGCTTTTCAGGTTGAGGGAGGAAGGGGGACTGTGAACAGCTGGCCACCATTCACTTACTAATAAGGCTTCAGAACTTTGAAGACTGTTATTAAAGCTCCCCCTCCACCCTCCCATCTCCGGGTGAGGGAGTTGGTAAAGTGCTTGGAGCTCTCTGGAAAAATAAGGTGCTCCACAAATATAAGGTACTTATTATTTTCAGTTCCCCTCAGATCAAATTAGGTGTCAAGTTTTAATCTATCACCTGACACCTCTGATTGCTGGTTGCCAAGGCAGAATGACTTAGCTTTTCAAGAATCTAGAGCATAATTGCATTTCTGATGCCACCGTTCCACACCTTTGACACACACTCTGCCATTTGACACAGCCTCCTGCGCTTGTTTCTGAAACTCTGCGCTGCTGAACTGAACGCGTTTCCTGGTCTATCACACTGAGTCCCAGAGCTCCTGGTGTGTGCTGGACATGCCGTAGAGGCTTAGTAAATTCCTGGTGAGGGGTCACAGGCGTCTTTGAAAATGATTGAGAGCTCTTCTACTCAAAGGGTCATCCCTGTACCACCAGCATCAGCCTCACCCGAGAACTTGCTAGAAACACAGAATGGCAGGCCCCAGCCCCGACTTGCTGAAGCAGAGACTGCATTTTAAGAAGATCCCCAGGAGAGTCCCATATACATTAGGGTTCAAGGAGCACTTGTTTAGGCCAGGAACAGTGGTGGCTGAGAATCAAAATTCCCTGGGGAACTGCTAGTTTTGTTTTGTTTTGTTTTTTCAGGCCCTGAATCACTCTGGGAGAGAAGGCCCGGGCCTCTGTTCCCTTTAAAAGCTCCACATGTGATCCTGATGTTCATCCAGGTTTAGAATCATCAATTAGAGCTTAAATGTATCTTCGGCTAATATCTAAAAAAAAAGGAAAAACTCAAACTACAAATCACGTAGAAAAGCCCTGTCTACACATAAACCATTCTGATTTAACTATCGATGGATTCCCCATCTGAGCCGGGCTTCCTGAGCCCACAGACACACCAAGGCTTCCATGGGCCTCTTAGCAGCCACACGGCGCAGATGCATTTCAGCCCTGTCCCACAAAGGAACGTTTCTGGACGATGACTAAACCCATGCTTCATGCTGTGATGATGGCCTTCTGAGATTTCTTCACCTCCACCACCAAACTGTTCCATGTCTTCTTCTAGATCCCAGGTTCTGTGCCAGACAGGAGCCTTAGAAATGACACCCCTTAATGACAGCAGAGAGCACAGTTCCACAAATTTGTCACCATCCATTCCCATTAATCCCAGACCACCTGGAGGCTTAGCCCTAGCACACACCAAAATTTAGATATTGGGGGACAACTAAATGTCTGTGAAAAGGACAGGTGACCCTGGAGAAGTTAGGGCTTCCCTTTCTCCACTTTTGAAGGATATGGCTATACTAGACGGGAGATTTTCAAAGGGAATCCCTTTTGTCTAACAAAATTGTATTTGACCTCCAATATGCTGAAAAAGGCAAGGCAGCTCTGACAGAGATGGGGGACGAGGGACCCGGATCCATGACCACTAAACCTTCCCCTGCCGCCCCCCTATCTCTGGGGAATGTCAGTCTGATTCCAGGGCTCCAAGGAAGGAAGTCTGGAAACCCTTGGATTAGGTAATCCCTAACTTCTCTCCTCGTGCTTAACTTCTGTAAGGAAGATAAATCTGCTTGGTGCTGCCAACAACAAAAGTAAAAAAAGAAGAGAAAAACCATGTCATACACTCCAAAGTTTAGAAAGGAATTACGGCCGGATTCACCCATACCATTTGCTTCCATTATTAGTTTGGTGTACAGGCAATCCACCAGCTACATTTCAAAACTTGCATTTTTCTCATTTATAAGTGTGTTAGGCACAGTAATTTTGAGAAATAATAGGTATTAGGCAAATTCTTGAGAAACCCTTGAATCTGGCTTCCATTCTGTTCCTTATTTTTTCTTGGTAATCAGAAGGATGCACATTAACAAGAGAGAGATGGGTGACCTAGACAGGCGAAACTACAGAGAAACAGATGTGGGTGAAAGGGATCATGGATCTTAGAGCCGAAAGGATCAAAGACATTGACAACTCCAAGATTCTGCCTTCAGAGCAATGTGGTGTCCATTCATTCATCCAGTAGTTGTTGGCCTCACGCAAAGCATCCAGGTTATGGCCACGAAGATGCAGCTTCTGTTCTTACGCAGCACGGAGACACAGGCTGGTAAAGAAGCGATTTGTAGGCCGGGCGCAGTGGCTCAAGCCTGTAATCCCAGCACTTTGGGAGGCCGAGACGGGCGGATCACGAGGTCAGGAGATCGAGACCATCCTGGCTAACCCGGTGAAACCCCGTCTCTACTAAAAAATACAAAAAACTAGCTGGGCGAGGTGGCGGGCCCCTTGTAGTCCCAGCTACTGAGGAGGCTGAGGCCGGAGAATGGCGGGAACCCGGGAGGCGGAGCTTGCAGTGGGTGGAGCTTGCAGTGAGCTGAGATCCGGCCACTGCACTCCAGCCTGGGCGACAGAGCGAGACTCCGTCTCAAAAAAAAAAAAAAAAAAAAAAAAAGAAGCGATTTGTAGCAGCGTGATAAGTGTGTGACAGTATATGCAAGGTATTATGGACTTGGAGCAGAGAGCTGAACATAAGCTTCATGAGGGCCGCAGCTTTGTCTCTTTTATTCACTGCTAGGACTCCCAGGCCCTAGAATAGTGCCTGCAGGTGTTTTTAACAAATAAATGAACAAACCACGAATCCTGCTGGTGGAAGGGGTGGGACATCCTACTTGGCTGTTCTGTGAAGGAATCAGCTGAGGCCTGGTAAAGAGCAATTTGTAGCTTGTCCACACTGGCATTGACCTTGAGAAGCCTGCATTGGAGTGGTGGAAAAACTTTTAAAAAGCACGTACAAAGCGACACATTGCAAGTAGGAATCATAAAAGTAGAGTCTCCCAGATAATTCAGAATGCAAAGATAACACAGTTGCTCTTGGGCCCTGCCAAGACCCTTGATTTTGAGGTGAGCCTGGAGCCCTCACATTCTGGATCAACCTCCTCTTGTGTGAAGAGCTGTGACAGAGGCCCCCAAACATTGCATGGTGTGGCTCCTGGGCAGGGCACAGCTGGGCCTACTGAGCTGGAAAGACTCGGGGGGTGGGAGAGGTGCTGGTCAGAATGAGGGAAGAATCTGGTTGTGACTCAAACACTGAGTTCTCCAGGACCCTTCCTTGACACTCCACTATGTCCCCTCTCCCAATCCAGTCCCATTCACTCATGGCCCAGCAACGACACAGCTGCTGGCATAATCTGGATTTTCCGTGTCCCTCTCTCCACGAGGGCAGGGACTGTGTCTGTCTTGTGTCTGTCTTCTGGGTCCCCAGGAACTAGCCTGGTACCGGGAACTCGGATGAACAGAGGAACAAATGCCTGCATCAGTTTGCTCCTGGAAAAGGCAAGTTCTGAATCAGATTTTGAAAGTGCAGAGGCTCGGGTGGGAGATGGACAGAGAAGAAAAGAGAAGCTCCAATCAAGCCTAAATGCTCCTACGAAGGTCGCCAGCTCACCTCCACGCTGCTCAGCCACCGCCGGACTGACAGGAACGACTGCTTGTCTGTGAGATCGTACATGACGATGACACCATCGGCCTTTCTGAAGAACTGCTGGGTGATGCACCGGTACCTGCCACAGAAGGGCCACGGGTCAGGCATGCATGACCTTCCCCCTGGAGCCCCGAACTTCAGGCAGCTCCTCACCTCTCCTGTCCAGCCGTGTCCCACAGCTGCAGGGCCACCTGAGAGTCGTCCACATTCACCGTCTTCACACGGTAATCAATGCCTGCAGGGTGAAACGGGCCTGTCAGGGCTGCCCTGGGCCAGGGCACCTCACTTCCAAATCAGGAAACGAGGCTTCCAATGTCTGAAATCACATCAGGCCCAAGGTGACAACCCTCCCTGTGCAGCTCGTGGGAGGCAAAATGGAGAAAGGAACAGAGCACTGGATGGGGAGGCATGGGACTTCAGCTCTGGTCCTCTCTCTGCCACTTATTAGCTGTGGAACCTTGATCAGATCACTTAATCACTCTGAACTGCGGGCTCTTCACTGTAATACAAGCCATATGCTCTTTCTTTCCCTCCCTCCCTCCCTCCTTCCCTCCCTCTTTTCCTTCCTTCCTTCCCCCTTCCTCCCTCCCTCTCCCCCAACTTTCTTTCTTTCTCTTTCTTTCTTCCTTTCTTTCTTTCCTTTCTCTTTCTTTCTTTTCTTTCTTTCCTTTCTCTTTCTTTCTTTCTTTTCTTTCTTTCTTTCTTTCTTTCTTTCTTTCTTTCTTTCTTTCTTTCTTTCTTTCTTTCTTTCCTTCTTTCTCTTTCTTTCTTTCTCTTTCCTTCTCTTTCTCTCTCCTTCTCTTTTTCTCTCTCTTTCTTTGTTTCTCTTCACCTAAAATCCTTTAAAAGGCCCCCTAGTAAAAATCAAATGTCCTATGGGGATGGCCTCCATCAACCAATCCAAAGGTATGTGGAGGAAGAAGAAGGAGGGGAGGAGGAACAGGAGGAGGAGGGTAGGAACTGGCAGGTAGAGGAAAGGACAGAACAGAAGGGGTAAGAGAAAAAAATCACAGGCAACGTTCACCCTTGACATGGGTTAGGGCTCCTAATCCTACCACTGGGCTGTTCACAACCATCTCTCCAGGGGTGTGACCCTACCTGGGGTCCTCAACCCCAGAGAGAGGGGGCAAGGTCAGTGAAGTGCATTCTGCACCCCACAGCAGCTCTCAGAGGTCAGGACCTCAACACAGGCGTTTTAATACAGGTCTTCTCCACTCCTGCATCCTGTAAGAATATTCGCAAAGGCATAAAGAGGTTCAAAAGTACATCCCACCACCAGCACCATAAGTTCGAGATCTTAGAACTTTAGGGTATCTCCCACAACCTTCAGAAAGGCCTCTGGAGGGCTCAGGAAGACAAACAGCAACAGCAGCTTGGACAGAGAGAGACAGAAGAGACCAAACAGACAACAAAGAGGCAGTAAATGGAAAAGGTCATCCCAGCCGCTGCTGCTGGGCAAAGGCTACTGCATTAAGGACTCACGAGTGAGGAGAGGCGGGAGGATCATCCACTTCCAGAATGTCAGGGGCAGCAGGGAGTCTGGAGGCCCTCTGCTTCACAGACGGGGGCCAGAGAGGACTGCAATTGTCTGGGCTGAGAGTGATTTCTCCCATTAATAGAATGCTATTTCCAGTGTTTCTATGTGCTGCCTCTCTACCTTCACAGAGTCCCCCTGTGACATCCATGTGAGTTATCTGCACACACATGTGCACACATGCATATATACTCAAACACACACATTCACACACACACCGAGAGATGAAGCACGAGTCATGAGCAGTTGTGCCTTGCCCGAGCTGGTCTGGTAGCCAGGTGAGCTGCAATCCCAGCTCTGAGGCTGACTGCCACTCCTGGAGCCAGACTCAGGGCACAGGACACGGGCAGCTTTGTTTCACCTAGAAGGCCCAGGGCTAAGTGCTCCCAGCAAAACAGACGACAGTGGCTGGAAGGTGAATCCAAGGGTGCGTTTTCTTCCTGGCTAGAAGTGGAGGGGCTTTCCTGGTCTGTGCTCTGGGAGACAGAAGGGGCTGCCTGCTTTCTGGTAACAACTGAAGGGAAAGGCATCCATGGTCATACAGCTTCAGGGCCAGATCCAAAACCAGCCAGTGCTCCCCGAGGACAGAGCCTTCTGCCTGCTGGTAAGGCTCGCAGGTAGAGCGGCAGGGAGCTTGCTGGGGCAGCTGGGTCTTGGTTGCCCTCAGCTCCTGCTCCACCTCATGGGCTAGGTGCTTTGCTGGAGGACAGGCAGCTGTCTCTGGCGAGGAGTGAGATGGGCAAAAGAGTGTGCTGGAAAAATGCTCGGTGCCGTGGTGAGCTTGGGGAGACTCCCTGCTGAACACGTGATGTGTTTCTCTCTGCAGCCTCAGACAGGCAGGCCGAGGAAGCAGATAAACAGGCTCCCGGGGGCTGGGTGTGAGGGACACAGGAGAAGACGAGGGGGTGGGGATGAAGAGGCAGCGTGTGCAAACATGAAGCCAGAGAACACAAGTCCAACAGGATAGTAACACGGAATACGTGGGGACCGGAGGGCCTGGATTAAACTGATTTAAAGACGACCACCAGTTCTGAAATCCCAGGAGGCAAGAGACCTGTATTGTGCGTTCCTGTCTCAGCTCTGCCACTGACCATGGGTGCAGCTCATTTTGGGGGGGTTCTCCCTCCTCATCGGTAGACGGCAGTGGGATGGAGGTACGAAGGGATGAAGGGGCTAAGTTGGATGTTCACAGTGTTTAAGTGCGGCTGGAGCATTCAACTATCACATCGAGGTGACCCTTGTTTGCAAGCGAATTGCTTCCCGAAGGATGGCTCAAGTCAGGAGCCTCCTGGCACCTTGAAAGGTGCTGTGGAGATGGTGTGGGTTAGTGCTGGGCTGATGGTTGCCAGGAGGGTGACCTTAACCTTTCTCGAGGTGACAGCCCTGAGCTGTCATAAGGCAGGAGCGATGGGGAGCAGTGGCAGTAAGTTGCTCTGGAGAAATACCCTAGGGAGCTGCTGCAGGGATTTCTCTGTAGAGATGGGCAGTGGGACAGACACTGTACCGGTGGCCAAGAAAGGGCTGGGGCATTCTGCCAGAAACAGCTTCTGGAAGAAACACCTTGGGTTCTGGCCTGTGACCTAATGCAGGGAGGTTGTGAACCAGTGTGGTGTAGTGGGAAGAACGCTGGACTTGGAGTCCTGGGTTCCAGGGAGTTTGGTTAACTCGAATGATCAGTCTGTTGTGGATCTCCATTTTCTCACTTACAACATGAGAGGATGTAATTAGACCATTCCTAAGGTTCCTTCCAGATCTAGCATTCTGCAAAAACCATCAGTGTCGTCTCCAGGATGCCTGCAGGGCTCAAGCACCTGCTCTTGAAGGAGCAGGCTGGGCCCCGGGTGGGGCAGGCAGGGTGCCCTAGTCACCAGTCGCACTGTAGCAACTTGCATTTCACACAAGCCACTGGTCCAGTACAAAACATGCTCTTATGAGGGAGTGGGAGACCAGGAAGTTGGAGGACCCCTCGGAGGATGGAGGTGAGCTGGAAGAACAGCCAAAGCCCTGCCACTGGGCTGTAACTGCTGCCCTTGACAGGAGATTGGATGGAATCCTGGTCTGGGGGTGGGCAGTTTTGGCCCGAGAGGCTGTGACTCTGTGGCTGTTATATCTCTTTAAAGGGGGCAGCATGCAGGTGGCTGGTGCGACATCTGCTTCCTGACATGTGTCCTAGAGCAGGGCCTGCAGTGTGGCAGGGAAACTAATTTGAGCTGCTGCTCGAGCATGTGTGGAGTGGTGTGATGAAGGGCATCCTGATTTGGAACCTTTTATTTTTTTTCCTCTCTTCCTAAACTGTAGGGTGTTTCCATAATTGGCCTCCTGGGAAGTGCAAATGAGTCTGATTTTCTATTTTTCAGGGCCTTCCATCTCAGGGCCACAAGTTGAAAATGTAAACAGACCCTGATTTTGTTGTCAGGAGAGGCAGGCCACATGCACACTGCTCGGGGGACATGGCTCTGAGGCCTGCGGGCTGGGCACCCTCTCCCTGCCTCCCCCAGGCCTGTGCCAGAGCCAAGACCGTAGGGCCTCCCCCATGGAATGCCCTCAGGGAGGGCAAGTTGACCTCCCAGGTGCTGTCTCCTGTGTTACCACACTCAGCACACTCCCAGCTGCCCCTCCCTCGAGACCAGACGTGGCCAGGCTCTTCTGGGTTTGGTTTGCAGGCTCGTGCTTCTTCCCATCTGGGTCCCAATTTTTGTCTTGGGATGCTCTCAGTCTCTGGGTGAAGTTGAGCAGAAGGAAAGGGATGGGAAGATATTCCAGGTGTGATAACAGTGTAAGAAAAGGCCTGGCAGGAAGGGTGGGACACCTGAAGCACACAGGCACAGGCCCCTCTCTGGGAGAAATGTTACAAGGGCCAGTTCAGGGTAAGAGAAGGAAAATGGAGTTTCCCCAGGCAGGACTCTGGGCTGCTCAAAGTTGGTCTTGTAGAACCAGCTTGTCACACAGCCAAAGGTCAAAGATGGTTGAGTCAGAGACCTAGGCTTGGAGGCAGTCTTAGGGTGCTAATATGATTTGGATTTGTGTCCCCACCAAGATCTCATATTCAATTATAATCCCCAATGTTGGAGGTGGGTCCTGGGGCAGGTGATTGGATCATGGGGGTGGATCCTTCATGAATGGTTTAGCACCATACCTTTTCCTCATGATAGAGTTCTCACGAGATCTGGTTGTTTAAAAGTTTGCAGCACCTCGCCTGTCCTCTATTCCTCCTGCTCTGGCCATGTAAGACATGCCTGCTTTCCCTTTACCTTCTGCCATAACTGTAAGTTTCCTGAGGCCTCCCCAGCCATGCTTCCTGTACAGCCTGCAGAACCATGAGCCAGTTAAACCTCTTTTCTTTATAAATTACCAGTCTCAGGTATTTCTTTATAGCAGTGCAAAAGCAGACACACAGGGACCCAGTTGCAACCTCTCATTTTTCAAATGAGAGAAAACTGAAGCCCTAAGAGGCATCACATCCTCTTGAGGTCACACAGCTTGTCAGTGGCAGGGCCCAGATGAGGACTCAGGACTTCTGATGTCTTACTGAACCTCCGAAGCCCCTCCTTCCTGCACCAACCTCTGTTCACCTCCAGAGGCAGACAAGCATCCTCACCTCTCATGGGGTGCTAAGTGCATACAACTCAATTGAGGGACACTATGGCATGGAATAGAAGGTAGTTGAGGGGAAGATATCAGCACCAACCCACTGATGGGAATGTGAACAAGCCTCTAACCTCTCTGGACCTCAGTTTCCTGATCTGTCGACTGGGCTGAACAGTACCTGTCCCCTAGGGTTGTTGTGGAGATAGATGAAAAGGATGACTATAAAAGCTTCTGGTAAATATTCAGGTCATACAAATACATTTTCAAGTACAGTTGACTTATCAGCTCGGTGGAACAGGCATGCAATGTATTTGTTTTTTGTTGAGTGATTCACCTTCCTGTTGAGTGATTCAAGCTAAAAGGTCTGTATGCCCTTGGGTCTCACCACATATTCCAATGCAACCCTCAACTGTGGGTGAAGGGATTAAAGGCCTCTATTTAAATAAAATATCACCCAGAGTGGGAACACATTAAGCCATGATCATCCATTAATGGCTGAGCCTAATGAGCTTCCACATTGAAGTCCAGCTGTCACCCAGCAGGCTGGGGACTTAGGACAGATACAATGTGACGGGTAAAAGAAGCCTTCCAGGAGCCAGGCCAGGATGTAGCAGGCCCTCAGGAAGGCAGGGGCATGTGTGGCCGGATGTGGGTCTTGGGAGGAGTCCCAGGCAGTTTGGGGGGAGCAGGAAGACCCAGGGCCCTGCTGACAGTGGGGAGGAGTGGTCAAAGGGAGGGGGCACTCATTGAAGCGGGGAAGGGGACCCAAATCTACCTTTACCAAATTTAGTTCCATAAACCCAGGGTTGGATTTACGAAGTACTCCGGGGTCCCATCACACACAGGATGAGCTTAGCAGCGTGAGGGGAGGTGGCTTCATCTTGCCCCTCCCAGCCTCTCTGTTGAACACAGCAGACACCAGCATCCCTATCGGCCAATCCCCGTGGCCCTTCCCATGGGCCTCTAATGCCCCCTCCCCCGGGCCCCCCTCTCACAAAGTCCTTTCCCAGAGATGGGCCTGGGACCCCCCTCAGGGAGGAGAACTCACCCACAGTGGCCGCCATGCCTGGGGAGAACCGGTCCTCACAGAACCTCCTCAGGAAGGACGTCTTCCCCACCGCGGAATTGCCAACGAACACAATCTTGAAGAGCCGGTCAGGGGCAGAGGGAGAGCTTTCCTCCTGCGGACGGCACACAGTCTGACCAACTGCAGGGAATGGTCCTGCCAGCCCCTGCCCCAGCCACCAGAGGCCCTTCACCCATCCCTACAGTGGCCCTCAGGGGGTGCAGACCAGCCTCCAGACCTGCACCAGGGAGGCTGCCACAGCCTCAGAATGCAGTGAGCATAGTCGGTCTTGGGGCATGGAGGCTTTTTCCAGCATCCGCAGGAGGGAGGAGAAACAGCCACCCAGGTGACATGCGCTGTCCGCCTCCTGTGGCAGGGAGGCAGAGGCTGACCCTGGATTCGGTGGGGTGGAGGAGGCAGTTCACGGATAAGGACAGCTCAGTGCTCCAAGTGCGACAGGGCACAGAGGAGGGGCCTTACCACCATGGCCTCCCAAAGTGCTGCTTTTACAGGTGTGAGCCACCATGCCCAGCCCACAATTCCTCCAAGAGGAAGCAGGAATTTTTTTCTGTAGGGAAGGACAAGGTGGGGCGTTTGCAGAGAGAAGGAGAGGAGGATGAAAGAAGGCTTATCCACATCACGGGGACAGAGACGTCCCAGGTTGGGACAGGGAGTTCCTTATTTCAGCCCTATCCTTGGCAGCCTGGACTAAACGGAGGATGCTCTGGCCTCTCTGAATATTGCTCTCCATGCATCTCATCAGCTCCCATCGAGGCACCGCCATCCTCCTTGTGTAACTGAGGCACAAAGGTCTCCACTCAGGAAGCTGGGAAATGCTAGGCTGCTGGGCAAAGCTTCCCAGAGTCAGTCAGTCACTGCTGCTCTGTCTCTTGGGCCCCGCAGAGGGAAAGGGCTGGGGCACGAAAGCCCAGAGGGGAGTGAAGTTGACCTAGGACAAAAAGCAAGTAGGAGGTAGAGTAAGGAGCCGCCTTCCAGCACAGCCTGCTGCTGAGGAATGATCATTCACTCCAGGGACCTGCCACTCAACCGCAGGCATCGCGCCTTCAGGCCCAGCTCAGCGATGCCTGATCACATGGGGAGGCTCTTTGAATCTATTTCAAAGTGAATTTGGGGGAATTAGCTCCTCTCATTAAGCAAATACTATAATGTAGTGGCAGTTGTATTAGCAGTACTTGAGTTTCAGATAAAAAGCCATTAACTGCCTTTTGGAGAGAAATCGATTCCATGCAGTATTTAGGAGAGAATTCAAGGTCAACTACAAAAATTTAAACTAAAAGTTAAAAAAAAAATAACCACCAACCTGCACTCAAAAACTATGCCTCCTGCCCCATTTTCTTTATTCATGCCATGCACAAGGGCACCAACTCTCTGCTGGTCCCTGTACTTTTAATTGTTATTTGTTTGAGACTAAAACTCAGTGTATTGATCTAATACACCCAAGCACAGGACAGGGCAGGGAAGGTGAAACCCAGGATGGCAGGAAACGGTCCTGGTGGGAGAGGTGTTGCCTGATCCTTAGCCCTGTGGCCACCGCCCCTCCTCAGGCAGAGCACTTCTATTTTGCCCATAGACACATCAACGGCTCAGCGTCAGGCAGGACTCACCTCACAGGGGCAGCAAACTCTCAGGTATGTTCATGCACTTAACCCACTGTCCCCTCTGGGGGACAGGCCACCCGCCACAGGAAAATAAGATGGCTGGATTGCAGGGAGGGGGCTGGAGAAGCAGTACCTGGCTGGCAAGTCAGAAGATCTCTTCTCATCCTCCCTCCTTTCATGCTTTTTAATGTAAAAAATAAGCCTTTAAAAAATAAAATTATGCTAATGTTTCAAATTAGGAAATGCACAAAAGTAGAGGGGAAATTAATTCTTCCTAATCTACCCTACCACCCTGAAGTGGTCACTACTCATATCTTTTTATTTTTTAAGAGACTGGGTCGCATTCTGTTGCCCAGGCTGGAGTGCAGTGGTACAATCACAGCTCACTGCAGCCTTGAACTCCTGGGCTCAGAACTCCTCCTGCCTCAGCCCCTGGAGCAGCTAGGACTACAGGTATGCATCAACGCGTCTGGCTAATTTTCTTACTTTTTGTAAAGACCGGGTCTTGCTATGTTGCTTAGGCTGGTCTTGAACTCCTGGCCTCAAGCTGTCCTCCCACCATGGCCTCCCAAAGTGCTGCTTTTACAGGTGTGAGCCACCATGCCCAGTCCACAATTCATATCTTGATGCATTCCTTTCAGCTTTTTAAAATATCATCTTTGTTTTATTTATAGAAATTTGAGATACATATAATTTTATCCTACTTTATCATATATTATTAACTTACAATTTTTTTAGTCACTAAAGATTTTTGAAAATATTTTTAACAGCTGTATGATATTCTAGTGAATTAATATACTATGCCTTATGTCCCTATTATTGGACATTTTTCTTTCAACTGTTTGCTATTATAAATAACTCTTGCATTCTTGAGTTCAATCTTTGTCTGATTTTGGTTATTTCCTTACAAAGAATTTCCAGCAGTAGAAGTGCCGGTTCAAAGGATATGCTATTTTTAAGTTTTTGATTCATATTACCAAATGGGTTTCCAGAAGGGTTGTACCAATTTACACCTCACCAGCCTTATATGGGAGGGCCTGCCTTGCAGTAGCCTTCAAACGAGCATACCTTCCCTGCTGGAGCTGTGATGTGGCTGCTAGTAAATCGTACTTCCTCCCTGCTGCAGTTCTGTCCCCAGCACGACGGCAGCAGGACCTCGTGGAGTGGGCACAGAAGTGAGAGAGCTCGGTGAGGAGGGCTGGGCTCCCCATCACTGTGGGCCTGGCCTCTCCCCTCTGAGCTCCAACTTTCCCATCTGTCAATGGGGAGAATAAATGTCTGACCTGACTCATCAGATAGCGGTGAGGATAAAATGCCACAGCGGATGTTTGAGCAGATGCTTGAGCCTTTTTCTTCATCCTCAGCTCCTACTGACCTCATGACACTTCTTTCACATTTTAGGGGGACATCTTGGAGTTATATAAGACCCCATTTGTACCCGCCAGCAAGTGTAGGTCTGTGCATTGAAGGGGAAGTGGAAGGGCATGCAGGAGGGAGGGGGACCCCACATTGGTGCTACCCAGCTCTCCACTCTCCCCTTGCACCAGGGCCCTTGAGGAGTGATCTGCAGGCATGAGTCTTAATCCTGGTCTGAGAATGGTAACCTATGCCAGGAAGTCCATTAGGTAGCTCACACCCTAAGGCAGCCACTGGGAAAAGTTCAAGGTGGCAAAGGCTCAGTTCTCAATGGCTGCGGTGGCGTGCAGGCAGGAGCCTCTTTCAGACTGTTGTGGATCGTTCTAAAGCTGTTTCAGAAGGCTGAGTGCAGGATGAGGGCTCAAGGAGCCTATTCCGAGGCCTGAGTCCCAAATGAGGCAAAGAGCATCTATTACCATGAGCCAGGGGAGCCACTTTTCATATGGTCTCCCTTTTCCTACAGAATTTAGCAGGAAGGCCTGGTGGGAAGTACAGGGTCACACTGAAGAGAGGAGCAGGTAGGGAATGTCGGAATGAAAGTGGGATTCGCTGATTAAGAACCAAGAGAAAAATGATGGTATGCAAACTTTCTACAGCAGGGCCTGGCTCTGCTAAGAGCAGTTACAAAGCATGCAACTTTAAAAGTATATGAAATTACATGCTAGGAGCCGAGCATACAGTCTATCATAAGTAAGTGCTCAATTAATGCTTTTGAATCCAAGTCAGAAGAGAGGGCACAGGGTCAGGAATGGGGCAAACAACTGTGTGATATGACGAGGTTTCTTTTCAAATAATCTGATCAATCTTTTATTCTTTAATTCACAGTACCCCCCTTCCCCCGGCTTTTTTTCTCCTTTTCTTCCTTCTTGCCTTTGTTAGATGCCCAGGCACACCACAGTACCAAGCGTTATCAATACCAGCTCACATTCTTTTCCTTATTTGGAAAGAGGACGAACTTTCTGGTTCATTACAGACACCCCTTGCCCTTTCCATCCACTTTCTTTTACGTGCTCACCCTATCTTTAAAAATCAAATGTTTAGCCAACCGGGATTAGTTTAGATTGTACGACCCGACCCTGGCCAATGGGGAAAGGGTACAGGGCAGGACTTGCATCAGAAATAAACATGCATCTCATGCCCCTTCGTTCAGGTGTGCTTTCATGGCAACTGGCCAAGGAGGCACCCCTCTGCGCAGAAGTAAAATTGCTTTGCTAAGAATCCTTTGTTCGAGTGTTCAATTTCCTTAGGATTTTGAGCGTTGTTCCAAACACAACAAAGGTTTAAGGAGAATGTATCCGGACCCCTGGGTCTCCCCGCATGATACTCAGCTAAGCGGGGGAAAGTGGTATTTGGAGGACACAGATGTGGTGAATCACTGGACCTGCAGCATCTGACCTCCTGAGCTGCCTCTCCGGGCGCTTGGCCTCAAATGCAAGAGACACATCATAGAAGCGATGTCCATGAACCAACGTAGGATGAGCCCTTACCTTACACAGGGCTTCTTTTCCAACAGGCTGCCCTCGGGGGGATGTGGGGGTGAGTTTCAAGGGTGGGGCCTCCTGGATTTGTCCCTGTACCCCTTGGTCAGAGACCTCTTCCTCTTCTGGGCATTTGCTCAGGGGTTGCTCAAAGCCGCCATCCAGGAGCTGGGGCAGGGGGTCTTCTTCAATGGAGATGATTCTGCGGAGAGGCCGGGGGTATGGACCCCCAGGCCCTGGCTCCCCGGTTCCTGGCTCCTCTTCTGTTAGGGGATATCCACTCAGGCCCAGGGAGCTTCTCCTTGGGATGCTAAACACCTCCTCCTCCTCCTCTGACTGGCTATTGGGGCGGGGAAGAGAGAAGAGTTGGGAGGATTTCACAAAATATTTCAACACGGGCTGTATGACGGCTTTTGTGACAAACAGATAACCAGGGAGCATCACACGTTTGGAGAAGAGCACTCTGGGAAAGGGAAGAACAAACCAGCCAGCATTCTGCAGCTCATTCACTCAACATGCTTACACTAAGTGCCTGCTGCCACTGCTGAGGCAGATGATGACACAGATGATGATGATGATGATGACGACCAAGCATTAGGTACAGATGCCATTTACAGATGGACATAATTCCTGTCCTCATGGAATACTTGATTTAGTGGGGGACTAAAGCAATAATGACACAAATAAATACATCATTTACAAATTGTGAGACTGCTATGAAGGAGAAGGAAAGGTTGTAAAGAAAGAAGTCTCAGACTCAGATACAAAGCACCCTGATTAACATTAGCAGGTGGCCTTGGCTCTGCTCCCAGCGCCAGCCATTACTAACTGTGTGTCCTTGGGTAAGACACTTCAACTCTTCAGGCCTTGCTGTAAAATGTGGCCCATCTGCTCTGTCTATTCACAAATAAGACAATACATAAAAACAGACATGTTTGCAAAACATCCTCAGCAGTGTGAGGGGTGCTGTTGCTCTGGGAGGGCCCCCCACCTCCAGATAGAGCAGGTCTGCTGGTTCACAGGCAGCTGCCCCCTGGACAGGAGGCTTTGGGTCAGAAGAAAATCAGGCAGAGTATCTCCATCCACCTCTCCTTCCTCTCCCTTTCTCTTCCTCTTTCTGTATCCCTGGAAGTCAGAATCAGGAGTAAATGGTCTCAGAGGCTTAAGCACACATTTGCTTCTAGAAGCATTTGAGCACTAAGGGCAAGGAGAAGCTGTAGGCAGTGCAGGGAAGGAGGGAACTGGATGTGGGGGTCAATGCAGAGTCTGTACTTTCAGAAGGTTTTGAGAGCAAAGGCCTCACAGAAATTGTCTTAAGGGAAGTTTGACAGGGAGGACCTTAAGTCCAGAATTGAAACACACACAGACACACGCAAACACACACACACACACACGCACACACACACACGCACACATGCACGCAGACTAGAAAAGAAAATGGAATGGGGATGAAGCAATGGGGCAATAGGACCAAAGGAGAAAGGAACTAAATGAAGGACACAGAATATGCAGAACAGAGAAATACATTTTCTTTTGCTCCCTGATTTAAAATATGTATTACTCTTAAAGGTCAACAGTAGAAAGGAAAAAAAAAAAAAAAAAAAAAAGCAGGTATCACCATCCTGATATTAACTGTGATTTTGAAAGACAAATTACAATATAGTGCTTGATGCAGAAAGGGTGAATTAGTTTGGATTCCCTGATATAAAAATAAAGGATTTGCAGCAATTAAAGCACCTTTCCCTTGACTTACAAAAACAGTTTTTAAAAAGTCAAGTCTTCTTTCCAGCAAACTTCCTATATATTGTATCAAGCTTATAAAGTGCTTATTTGTTTTAGAACACAATTCACGACTGAAGTATTCCCATCTACTTTTACTCTGCTTATACACACCAAAGCGAATATTTGTGTGTACACATGAGCCAGTATGCACACACAGCATGTTTTTTCAAAGGCTGTGCGACCAGAAAAGAAACAGCCACTTAGATAGGCCTTAAAACAAAGCATTTATTGGAAAAAGCTTTTTATCTGGGAAATTCTCAAGCACTACTGCCATTCTATAATACCTGCACCATGGCATGACTGAGTTCATTTTTGGTTTGACCACCAAGTGCTCTCTGCCATTAGTAGGGACAGCAGCTATTTTTGGGAAAGTCTGCATTAGAATTTGGGGCTCACAATTTGTCACTTACTTGATTATTGTCTGCTTCTACCACTCAACCAGAAATTCAATGACACAGAGGTAGGTCCATTTTGCTCACTACTGTATATCCAGCAAATAGCACAGCACCTCACACACAGTAGACACTCAATAAATATGTATTAAGTGAGTATTTAATAACGGAGATTAATGGTAGGACCCACGTCTAATTTATTTTTGGAGGCTTTACAGAACTTAAAAGAATGTCTGGAACACAGTAGGTAATCAGTAAACGTCTGTTCAATCAATCAGTCAATCCATTCCATTCTGAGGAACCAACGGGCCAATCACTGTTGCAGAAATTGGGCTCCCAATTTGTATCTCATTATTCAGCTATTTAGAACAAGAATTCATGATGATCAGGCCCAAAGGTTTGACTGATGAGCTGATTTACATCTCCAGAGTCACTTCCCCTTTGCATATCTTTTCATTTCATGCTTGAAGTCTTCAAGGTCTCTCTGGGTCTGACACTGAAGGGTCAGGTGCCTCTATCTCTCTGTGGCCATCTATGTGGACACAGCACATGCCACAACGAAGAGCGGGCGGGGGACTGGTTTGTCTCTGAATGAGCAACGAGCCAACCCTTGGGTACTCAAGCTCAATCATGTGCTGCCCAAGAGCAACAAAATGCGTTACGTTTGAGTTAATTAAATATAAGTCATTGAAACGATCTGTCAAGCACAGGCCCCAGTCTTGTCTGTGAAAGGAGTTAACTATTGGAGATTCTATTTGACACTTTAATTAACCTTCATAGCCAATATAGTCATATTCCTAAAAACCCAAGTGCATCGGCCGGGCATGGTGGCTCACACCTGTAATCCTAGCACTTTGGGAGGCCGAGGCGGGCAGATCGCGAGGTCAGGAGTTCAAGACCAGTCCTGGCCAACATGGAGAAACCCCGTCTTTACTAAAAATACAAAAATTAGATGGGCGTGGTGGCGCACCTCTGTAATCCCAGCTATTTGGGAGGCTGAGGCAGGACGATCGCTTGAACCTGGGAGGCAGAGGTTGCAGTGAGCCAAGATCGTGCCACTGCACTCTGGCCTGGGCGACCAAGCAAGACTCTGTCTCAAACAACAACAACAACAACAACAACAACAACAACAACAACACCACCACCAAAACTGAGTGCATCCATTCTGCTCAGCGACAACAGTGTTACCCAGCTACACACTCCATCTCTCTCTCCCTTGACCCCTCTCCTCTGCTGCTACACAGTCCCTCTCTGTAGACACACAATAGGGTGGGGCAGCCTCAGAAGGCAATGGTCTGTCCTGGGGGGTTTGCTCTGCACATTACCCTCTGGCTTGGATGTCAGAACAGGGAGGGGAATATGTTCCAAGATTTGAGGGGAGTGAGTGAGTGCAGCTGACCTCAGTTTCCTCACCTTTCAAGGGGTCAGCAGGCACTGAGTGTGGGCCCAGAGCCAGCTCTCAATGAGCCCGACATTAAAGAAGGGATGAGCAAGTGGAGATGACTTACCTCCTAAGAATCCCTCTGCCGTCCACATATTTGCCTATCACGGAGCCAGATCTCTTTTTCCAGCTTGCCCTGGAAGCAGCTGTGTTTGCCTTGGCTGCCTTATTTTTCTGTAGAAACACAAAATGCCCTTAGATCCATGCCTATTTGCCCTGATGTTCGAACAGAAAAGGGCTCAAGATTCCCACCTCATAGACTAGGCTCTACACAAAACTCTGAAGGAAGTAAGCAGTATTCTGGTCACCCTGTTAGCATTTACCCACTCTTCCCTTTTGCCAGCATCCCTTACCAGAATCCTTCCATCTCCTTTCCAGTTATCTCATCAAATGAACAAATACACAGTTTATAGCCTGGGGTCCATCCTGTTATTCACAGGAGCACTGATCATTTGTAAAAGGAAAAAGAAGAAGAGATAAGTGTTTAATGCATATTTTCTATACATATTTCTAATGCACATAGAAAATATGCATTAAACATTTATCTCTTCTGAAAAAACATATCTATATTTTTGAAACAGGGTCTTGCTCTGTCTCCCAGGTCAGAGTGCAATGGCATGATCACAGCGCACTGCAGCCTCAAACTCCTGCATTCAAGCAATCCTCTAGCCTCAGTCTCCTGGGTAGCTAGGACTATAGGCACCCTACCATGCCTGGCTAATTTTCTCATTTTTTGTGGAGATGGAACCTTGCCATATTGCCCAGGTTGGTCTTGAATTCTTGGCCTTAAGTGATCCTCCTGTCTCACTCTCCCAAAGTACTGGGATCACAGGAGTGAGCCACCATGCCTGGTCAGACAGAAAAAAGAAAAAATATTTACAGGTATAAAAAACTCTGTGAATCTTTAATTCACACTCTTCTGTATGGCTCCAATCGCTTTTTATTTCTAAAGTCTCAGATGTAATGAGAAAGTAACTAGTCAGGAGGATCAATTAACTCAGTGTTCTGTCCATGTAACTCCTGAATAGCATAAGGCAGTTCAGCTTTTTGGTGGAAGTAGGCTGGGTGTAGATAAATTACTAACATCTGTAACACAGAACCTGGGTGGAGCAGGGGTTTACAACCCCCTTAGCCTATGCTCCCTGACAGACGTCTTCCAGGAGATGAGGCGGGGGAGTTAGACTGCAGGAAATATCTCTCGTTAATTAGCCATCCCATGATTCCCAATGATCCTTAATGAGAGGAGGGGCTGCAATGCTCCCAGGGCCCCGGAAGGTATGGCTATGCTGATTCCAAATTCATCTTCAATTCTTATTCAGTTTGTCCCTCTTTCTTTGATTCCCCACAGAAGTTCTGTGATTCCATGCCCCTTTCAAAGCAGAATCAGTTTGGCAGGTAAAGAGGAGGGAGGTGAAGGGATTAGGGTGACATTTGGTTGGAAGTTTTAAAATAAGTTCAGTGTTACTTCTAAAACAATGATAACCATTATCATCATCAAACAAACATGTGTAGGCTTAAGTCTTGCTCTAATAGTACACATAGGTGGGTGGCAGTAAGTGATGGAAAAGACACTGTGGCGTGATGCGGTCCCTCAGGGATGTGCGATTATAAAGCAGGTCAGATCTAATGTAGGGCAAATCAGCCGCCTTCTGCTGACCATATCTAGGTCACTGTTCAGCTAAGGGTCCAATACACAACAACATCCCCTTTCCAAGAATCTTTCTCAAAGATTCCTATTGTATGGAGCGGGGATGGGAATTCACTTTCCTCATGTGACAGTGGGGGTCATGGTCCAAGGTGGTAAATGACTTGCCCAGGGACACACATGAAATTCGTAGGATGGTCATCCTGATAATTAGGAAGTCACATCAATCAATTTGGCCTTCAGTTTTCTTCCCTTCAGAGCACCCAGTGGCTCCTGTTTAAAGGGGAAGATGAGTAACAGCATGGAATCCTAGGTTTTAGCCAATGAAGGCCTTTAAATAAATATAGGATTTCACATCATTTAGGAAAGTATATACAGATATATAAAAACATACATATATACACACACATATACACATTATATACACACATTATATATATACTACATATATATATATATATAGAGAGAGAGAGAGAGAGAGACATGGTACTCAGGTATGGAAGAGTAGGGGTCCCTATAGGATAGAGAAAAATTGTTCATAAAATCAAGTATGAAAACAGTGAAATACACATTTCTAATGTGGTCTATGACAGTATAAAAAGGAAAATTTTCAGTGAGATAAAAATTTAAATGAAGAAGCAAGCTGTGAGCATTTTGGTTTAGAAGCGATAATGACATTTCAACTGCGCCATCTCATGGATAGAACTATCATTTCTGCATCCAAGAAATATGCGACCCTCCCAAATATTTTAGTCTTGTTGTGCCAAGAGGAAACCGCGTTACTGTTAACGCACTGTTACCCAGCAGGCCACCCAGAATTTTTATTAATTGCAAAATGTTTTTATGCTATCATCCTGCCAAATAGATCCCAAGTGTCAGGACATCGCTGGGCCAGTCTCGACATGGATCTGGCTGTCCAGTGGACCACAGCCCTTGGTCCCCCATAGGTAAGGGAGAACTGGCCAATTACCTGAAAACATATGTCCCGTTCATCCCGAAGGTGCTTGTTCCTTTCCCTGTGGATGGTAAAGGGGAATCTATTCAAACACAGAGTTTGCAGTTGACAGATCCAACGGCAGCCAATTCACTAGTCAGATGGCTGCAGGGGAAGGTGTGGTGTGGAAGACCAGGGAGTCTGTGGAATCTCCTTCCGCAGGGATGTGATTAATGGCAGAGGATAGTTTGTGTGTACAGATAGGTACACACCGACGTGGGAGATAGACTGAATGCCCTTGAGACACCCATGGCCCACCAGGATGATGCATGGCCTCTCCTATTATTAGGGGCACCGCCTCTAGAGGGGACCCCAGCATTCCAGCTCCACCTGGGAGCTTCCCACTGGGCTCCCTCTTTCTTTCTCTCTGTGCACCATTCATTCATCCATTCATGCACGCACGCACGCGTTCACTCAAACGTCTCCTGAGCACCCACTGCATGTCAGGCACTCTTCTAGCCGTCAAGATCACGCCAATGACCAAAACAAAAACTTCCTGCCTCACAGAACGTGTATTTTAGTGGAAGGATATCTGTTATTGAGAAAATAAAGCGGGAAAGTGGAGTAAAAGAAGCCAGAGGGTGGAGCAGTATTTCAACTACGGTGGTCAGTGACGCCCTCACTGACAAGACAGCATTTGTGCAGAACCTTGAAGGAGTGGGAGAAGCATTCCAGGCAGAGGAGAGGCCAGGGCAAAGCCTTGTGCTGGGATACACCTAGTGTGAGCAAGAAACAGAGAGGAGGAAGTAGAGAGCCCAAAGGGTAAGTAGTTAGGAGATGAAGCCAGAGAAAAAGTGGATGGTGGTCAGGACCTGCCTCTTCACAGCCCTGTGGGCCACTGTACGAACTTTTTATTTTTACTCCAGATGAGATATGAAGCCAAGGGGCTGGGGGCGGTGAGCGTGAAGCAGCTGGCAAAGGAATGTCAAGATCTGGCTCCACTTTTCAAAGGATCCCCCTGGATGTGGTGCTAAGAATAGACTGCCGGGGCAAGCGTGGGGCCCTGACACTTGAGGAATATTTTTAGTAACATGGAGGTCACTGGCCACTGGGGTAAGAACTGTTTTTGTGGAACAGCAGGGGGGAAAAGGCCTGATTGGTGGGTTGAGAATGTGAAGAAAAGGAGTGGAGACAGTGAATGTGAACAACTCTTCTGAACATTTCGTTGTAAAGGGGTTGAAGAAATGGCAAGTAGCTGGGTGGGGAAGTGAGGACGAGAGATGTTAGACAAGAAAATTAGAGTGCCTTTGTAGGTATCTTCAAAAGAGATAAAACTGACAGTGGAGGAGAGAAAGAACTAACGCTGGAATAGTCCTTGAGGAGCCGGGAAGGGACGGGCTCTAATTCTAGAGTGTGAGTTGGGCACAGGGGTTGGGGGTGGCCTCTGTGATGAGCATGGGGAGTACATCCACCGTAACAGAGAAGAAGGCAGAGACATGGGCATGGGAGGAAGCTCTTATCGAATGGTTCCAGCTGTGAAACAGGAGCAAGCGTGAGGATGGAAAAGGAGGAGTCTTTTCTCCAGGACTTAAAGTAGGAGCAGTTGGGTAAGTGAGTTGACTGGGTCTGCTGTGCGACGGCGGAATGCACTTGGGGTTCACAACTGGGAACTTCATCCATTAACACAAGAGGTGGAGAGGGCAGGCCAGATGACCTCAAAGTGCTTAGCAGTTTCGTGATTCTATGACTCTTCTGGCCAGCGGCCTCTGAACAAACCTACACTTCTGAAGGGAAAGGGAGGGCACAGCCATGGTTAGGCCCTAATCATCACAACGCTGCCATTTATGGGGGCACTGACTGTGGGCCAGGCGCTCTGCTAAGTGTGTTGTACACTATAGAAAGAGATTTTAGGTGGGGCCTGAGGAGTCACCACCAGGGCGACTGACTTCCAATTCCGCCAGTCTTACAGAAAACATTAGGAATGTGCCAGGGTGGTTTTCAGTTACCTGCATGAGGTGAGCAGGCAGGCACACAGCCAGGGCCTTCAGAACAAGTCAGGAGGGACATGGAGGTTATTTTACAAGTCCCGAGAATGGCAAAGTGAGCTGCTCATGCCAGAGGGACCCTCACTCGGCACGGAGCTGTGAGTTAGCACCCTTGCACCTGAGTGAGGACCTTGGGAGACCTGGAAAGTCCCACCATTTTGGAAAGCATGCTGCGTTGTTTCTTCCTTTGTGGCTTCCTGCTTTATGTGGATGTGGCCATCCCCATACAGAAGCCTCAGTATTTAAAGAAACATATCTGCTTTTGTTCACATCGCTGCTCTACTGTAATTCCTACTCACAAGTAGCATCTTATTCTCAAAAGAACCCTGTAAGCTAGGCATGGGAAAATTAAGACTCAGATTGGTTAAGTCAACTGCCCAAGGTCACACAAGCGAATGAGAGGAAGTGCTGGGTTTTGAATCAGATCCAGCTTCAAAGTGCTTGTTCCTAATCAAGTGCCCTGAAATTGCTTGTGTTTGCACCCACTGTCCTTCGGATGGCAGCCCTTCTCACCCCATCACACCCCAGCTGTCGTCCTGATTCCACCACCATCCCACCCCTGCCCTCCCCCGATATTCCCGCTATCCCCCACACCCACTGCAGCATTCTCTCTCCCTTGATTCCTGGTGGTTTCACTGTGAGGGAGAGATCTGCCATGAGGCCTTCCCTCCAGCTCTCAGTTTTCATTAGCCAGCGGGACTTAAGCTTGGTAACCCTGGATCGATGGCACAGGAAGGCCTCAGTCCCTTTGTGATTCTGCACAAATGCTAGCCTCCATTAAAAAGACCCATACGTATTTGTAGAGAGCTGCCTTGTCATTCTCCCCTGAGCATTCTGTTTGAATCTACCCTTTCATTTTTTCCTAAATGCGATAGAAGAAAAAGACCCCAAACTTGTCCTTATACATTTTGTTCTCTTCCTTTTACTCAAGCCTTCCTGAGAATCAAGACCTTCTCGCAAATGGATCACAACTTGGTCACCTAAGAACCCCCCTGCGTGTTCCCTGGCACTGGAGGCCTGACCGAATCATGTATTGAGCACAGTCGATCTGCAACGCATTCAGGTTGAAGCACTTTTCCATTTGGTAGCATCATAGATGCCAGACAGAGTGAGCATCCCTTGCTTTCACAAAAACAAAAACCTTCATAACATAACTGGGAAGTGATTCAAAACCACTTGCACTTCAAAAATCAGAACCCAAAGTCCTTCTGTTTCCTCACCATTCCCCCAGAGGTGCCCAGCCGGCAGCGACTTACAAACATCACGGGCAGCACCAAAACTTCCATCTTTCCCCGCACAGGTTTGTGTTTCTGAGGAGGGGAGGGTGGTGCACATTCCAGACCCGTCGACTTTGAGTTTATTGCTGGGGGGTCTCTGAAGGCTGAGGAAGCTTTTTCTTGGTGCTCTGTTTGCGATTCATTTACTCATTCAACAAACACGAACAGAACACAGCCGAGTTACAGATTTCCATTCTGGCCCTATCAGCGAGGAGCTGCGTTGCCTGTGGTAAATCACCTCATTCCTCGAATATCAACTTCCCCATCAGTTAATTCCTGTGAATTAACCACCCTACTCACCTAACAGTTTTGCTGAAGATGAAAGAGATAATATTTCTGGCATAGATTAAATGCTCAATAAACCCAGCTCTGCTCCCAGGTGATCCTGTACCAAGCATGGTCCTGTGAGGGACTCAGAAGAGTGGGGCGGAGCCGCCCCACCAGGAGGAATACACTGGATATGGGCCCACGTGTAAATGGACCACACATAACACAGTGGCTACTCAGTGGTCCAAACACTGCGTTGGGGACCAAGGGAATGAGGGCGCTCTCCGCAGGCATATTTTTCCAGCACGTAGGCAAGGATGACCCTTAGACTGGTCCTTCCGACCGCAGGCTTCTGGAAGGTGCTCTCAGCACAGGCCAGTGCCCACCGACGCACCTTAGGAAATCCAGCTGCTTGAGGAGCCCGGCCTTCTCGCGCTGTAGACTCTCGGTCACACGGTACACTTCCCTGAGGAGGAGGCAAACACACTGCGGTGAGCTCCCAGGTGGAAGCCGGATGCCCAGACCCCTCATGCTGGAGACTGGCAGGCGATGCCGCGCCGGGGACGGAGGGCGTTGGAGGAACGTGGCCTTCCCTTGGAGAGCTCCTGTGGTTTGCAAGTGTTTTGGCCATTGCATGTGCCCAATTTGGGAGGTGAACTTATCCTCAGTTTATAGACTGTGACCATCAGAGAAGTCTGCTAAGTCTCTGCAGTTCACGCAGACAATCCGTGACTGAACCAGGGTCCCCTCCTACCCCCAGACCCAGCTCATTCCACAGCCACTTCACGTGCCACCTATGAATAGGCTGGATGGTCACTAAAGAGTCTGTCCAGGCTCCAAACTGCCCTATCCTATCCAGACTTCAGGGAATTAGAATCAATATTCTTCTCCAGCCAGATCTTGAAGGGTGAGAGCAGAATCTGTATTACCTTCCCTCCCATTCTCGCCCCACCCAGAGGCTGGCGCGGTATGTTTTTAGGAGCTCTGGAAGAACCACCTTTTCTTTCCCACCTTCCTCCCAAAGTCCCCAGATAGCTGGACTTTTCACTATTGGGCCTTCATTTCTCTGACTTATGATCCAGCTGTAATGCAGAATTGAATGTATCTATGATAACCATGTATATCACTGTGCAAACGTGTTAATTGTAACAGGAGTTGTGAGGAAGGGGAGAGAGAAGCAGGGAGGCTGTGAATCAGGGCAACTAGAGGGCAACTCAGGTGGGGAGGTGAGGGCTGTGTCTGGTTTGTTTACATTGATATCCTTGACACAGCGCCTGGCTTGGAGGTGTAATCAGCAAATAGGTGGAGGAAGAAAGAAAAGAGAGTAAAAGAGGTGAGGGGGAGCAAAGAAGGAAGAAAGGGAGGGAAGGAGGAAGAGAGGAAGGAAAGAATGAAGGAAGGAGGAAAAGAAGGAAGAATAAAAGAGGAAGGAAGGATGGGGTAATGGGGAGGTCTTCAGCCTCACTCAGGGAAGAAAGGAAAGGAAAAAAATAAGAAATTGGGTGATATTGGGAAACTGGCTTAAGTTCACAATTCTGTCTTCATTTTTCCTTCTCTGTTCTATACCATGCTTTAGACGATTTTTAACTGCTCTCCGATCTTACTACAAGGCTCTATAGTTCCACGTTTCCAAACTGCAGCACAGCTTTTCACGTAGGGAGCATCTTGCAAGTTGATACGGGCGTCACTTCCCATGGGCTGTCAGGGCTGCCAGGCTGTGCATACACTGGGCTGGGCAAGGACCCCTCTGCCACCCCATCCATCTCATTACTGAGCTGGCAGAAACAGCACCAACATGCTTGTCCACAGGACTCTCCTGCCAAGCTCCTAATAACCTGATTCCTTCAGCATGATGTTTCTCTTTTCCCCCTTTTATAGAATAATTGTAAAGTCAATTTACAGCAATAAGAGGCTGAATGAAATTCTAAGTTCAACTCAGACAATTCCAATTAAGCAACAAACCTTCTCTGGCTCCTGCAGAGATGCAAATTCTTGACATTTTATTACCGATTATATTTAATTTCAACTTGAAGAAAAACAATGTATTTCCCATCATCCAAACTGGGTCTCTAAACCCCTGTCCGGGACGCTGCTCTGATGAGCGCTCTGTGAGCAGAGCTGCCCGCTCCCGACTCCGGGCCCTGGGAGCTGAAGATCCTGGTGCTGTACGTTAGGGTCCCCCCACCCTACCCTGTGTCCTGCCTCTCTCCAGGGGTGGCCAGGAGCTCACAGCTTTTCCTCTGCTCAGGAAAATCATTCACCAGGGACTTAAGGTCTGGGTTCTCACAGAGTATTTTACCAAATAGCCAGTTCCCAAATTCTAAGTTTTCTCTGGCTCTGCATACACAGCACCAGTGACCATCAGGGCTATATATACACACATTTGTATTAGAAATACATGTGAACACATGTACTGTTCTGTTTGTCTAGTAAACATATATCTGCTTGGATATTTGTACATCCATATATACACACATATATTCAGAAATATATTGTTGTGTCAACAAAAGAAAGGCACTTCTGAAAAAAAAGACACTTAGATATTTGACTGAATGACCTCTAAAGTCCTTCTAACCTAGAGGTTCTAAAAGTGTATACATGGGTAATATGTAAACTGAAAGGGAAAGAACCTGCAGTTGTTTGGAGTGGTAATTGGTGAGGCCTTTATGGTTACCCTTACGGGAACTGCTGTTGGCTTTGTTTTAGGGGAGGGATGAGCTATGGAGCACTTCACAAGACATATTGTCAAGTGAAAAATGTAAATGCAGAACAGTATGCTTAGTATGCTACTGTTTTATAAAGGAAAAGTGTGTGTGTGTGCATGCGTGTGCACGTGTGTGCACACGCGTGTGCATGTGTGTGCACGCACATATATGTATCTGTGCCTGCATATACATACAGCATACTCTGAAAGGATCCACAGGAAACCATGACCAGTGGCTCTGATGACTGCAGATCGGGGCTGTGTCAGGGACACAGACTTCTTTTTGAGCATATAACCTTTTGTGCCTTTTGAATTGCGTGCCTTGTCATAACTACTTACTCAAAATAAAAGTTAATTAAAAAATAAACAGAGAGTTGCTGCTTCTCAGCTGACCTTCATCTTTATATTACCTCTCTGCTTGATAGTTCTTTCTTTATCTCATTTTAAAATCTACTTCCGCTACCTTGAGCATCTTCAGAGATCAGGAAAATTAATTTTGCCTGTTCAGAATTCTTGCGGATCAGTGACTAAGCCTGTTTACCTCCCAGCTCCACCCTTTCCTCTCCCAGCTGCTCTGCAGCAGCACGAGGCAGCAAGACCCTGTGGGAGAGCCTGGGACTGTCAGGAGAACCGGGCTCCGTCCCTGTTACCCAGCACTAGCTAGCTGTGCGGCTTTGGACCCATCACTACACCTCTCTGAGCCTCAGTGTCTTCATGTATAAAATGAGTGTGAGTCAGTGCGCCTGGCCCAGGATGACTTAAAGATCAAATGAGAGGATGTCAAATGATCGACATAAGTGAGATATATTGAATGCCCAGCACGGTACCTAGCACAGAATAAATATTTTCCAAATGAAGAAGTCATTGGCTCTATGGATAAATGAATATACAAATAAACAAAGGAGGGTCCTCTGCCCTGAGCCTCAGAGTACATGTGTTCTAAAACCTAAGACTACCAAGACAGGATAAATGGCTGATTCTTCAGGGACTCCTCCAGGTGAACCAGAGCATCAAAGTCCTCTCCGTCTGCCGGTCTGCAACCCTGCTCTACGGAGAACAAGCCAAGCCTCTCGCTGCACTGCTCTCCCGGCCTCCCTGGACGGGACATGCTCTCCAGGCCCCAGCATGCTCCCCGGCTACACAAGAAACTTCAAGCTTCTTGAATACAAGTTGTGAAGGTTCTGGAGTCATATTTCTCTCTTCCTCCCAATCCTCCCTCCCTCCCTCTTTTTCAATTCCCAGCCTCCAGAGATTGTGTCTCTGGCTTGGTTAATTAAGATAAGACTTCAGAAAGCTTTGAATCCTCACGCTGTGATGTGACGCTCCAGCACTGGGTGTTTATTTCCATTTGCTGTTCTAATGCTTGTGCCTTCAGATGTTTGTTGCTTTTAGAGCTTGATTGAATTTTAAGAGCCTGCATCCTTAATTCTGTTTGTAAAGCTAAATGCCTGTACCTTGTTGACCTGTTCTCAGTGAGGAGGAACTGATTTTGCTTGTTCACAATGAAATATGCTATCCTTCCACAACTGGTCATCCAAGAATTGGAATGGAGGGGCTTAATTTAAGTCAGCTACTTGGGAGCTCTTTGTTTTTGTTTTGTTTTAACTGGAGACATCTTACTAGGGTGAAATTTCCAGCCCAAACACGTCTCCTTCCTTTTACCCCAGGCAATTAGCACCAAACGGTACAGGATTCCACACAGAGGTCACACCAGCACAGCAGTTTTACGTAGGCCTGTGGACCAAAATCCTGCCAGCAGCCACCCAGAGTGAGCACCTTCACTTCTGAACAAGGGGAGTTAACATCTATAAAACAAGTTCTGGTACGTAGCACTGCCCTTTTCCCTAAAATCGTACTTTTGGTACTACCTGGTACCTTTCAGGATCAGGCACACAATTACTTTTTTCAGAATAAATGAATGAATGAAGAGTGCATGAACGAATGTGTGAGTAAATGATAGCCAGTCCAACTCTTGTAAGGATATTTTCTGCAGGCTTGTTATTCTCTAGGGAAAATCGGCAAGATGTGTCTAACTCTTGGCATCTTGGGATAGTTACTTAAACCTCTGAACCTTAGTTGGAGTGCAGTGGCGCGATCTCAGCTCACTGTAACCTCTGCCTCCCAGGTTCAAGCCGTTCTCCTGCCTCAGCCTCCCGAGTAGCTGAGACTACAGGCATGTACCACCATGCCTGGCTAATTTTTGTATTTTTAATAGAGATAGGGTTTCATCATGTTGGTCAGGCTGGTCTCAAACTCCTGACCTCATGATCTGCCCACCTCAGCCTCCCAAAGTGCTGGGATTACAGGTGTGAGCCACCACGCCTGGCCCAGGATGATTTAAAGATCAAATAGAGGATGTCAAATGATCAACATAAGTGAGATATACTGAATGCCCAGCACGGTACCTAGCGCAGAATAAATGTTTGCCAAATGAAGAAGTCATTGGCTCTATGGATAAATGAATATACAAATAAACAAAGGAGGGTCCTCTGCCCTGAGCCTCAGAGTACATGTGTTCTAAAACCTAAGACTACCAAGACAGGATAAATGGCTGATTCTTCAGGGACTCCTCCAGCTTAAGGTGCAGACCCAGGCTTGATTCTGCCTCAGGTGTGCCTCTGCCTAGTAAACTAACCCCCATGGCTGGACACCATTGGCAGGTCGGGCCCTGAGAGATGTGGGTTTCTCCCTACTGGGACCACACAGTTGAATCTGAGGAACATGGTGAAAAAAATGGGCAGAGATGGACAGGCAAGTCCAGGACAGTGACACATGCCCCGTCAGATCATATGCTGATCCCGAAAGCCTTCCTGCCTCCCTCTGGTCCCCCTTGGCCTCCCAGGTCTCTACACGACGACAGTTACTTAGGGTCTGTCTGCTCACTCAGCATTTGCCCACAGACTCCCTCATATTTGTTTGTGTAATAACATGTCTTTCTAATCACAGAATGCATTTTCTGAGAACAGGGCTGTACATTTCTTGTCAATCCCAGGCAATGCTGGACACAGAACTGGTCTGCTTCACGGGGTCAGAATCCTAGAAGAGTGTTAGAAGAGTCTCAGGGAGCCACAAGCCCAAATCCACACTTCACAGGCCAGGAGACAGGGCCTCTGAGCGGCGAGGGGACACGCCCATAGTGGGGGGGTGGTGCTGGAGGACAGCAGAGGAGCGGACAAAGGCTGGACTCACATCTCCTTCTCCTGGTGGAGTTTGCAGGCCTCTTGCTGAAGGCTTTCCAGCTGCTGCTGAGCATCCTGGAGCTCCCAGGAGGTCCGCTCCAGCTCCCGGGCCAGCTCCTGGTTGGTGAGTTTCAGCTTGGTATTCTCAGCCTTGGTCTCATGCTTGTCATGATGCAGGGCTGTGCACTGACCTTCCAGCTGCAAAGGAATGGGGAGCAGAGGGGAATGAGGAGTGACCACCATCTTCAGGAGGACCTGCCCTGGCCTCACCTTGCTTTCCTCGCTTGGCAGGCAGGAACCGTCACTGCCGCCCCTCACCGGCCTCAAGCCTAAATCGGCATTGTCCTCGCCTCAGTTCACACATACACACTCCTCTAGGCAGGAAGGAGCTTTCAGAGCACATCTTGTCTCTCCCCTGTCTCCACACAGGATCACTAAACAGTCCAGGAGGAACTGCTCCACTCAGAAAGATCACTAACAAAGGAACTTCCACAGTCCGTCCGTGTGAATGGCCTTGAGATCTAACCTAAATCTGTCTTGTTGTCCTTTAAGCCAATTTCTTTTCCTTGGTCCTTGCTGGAGAAGGGGAACAGCTAAATGGCCTGCTTCATAAAACCATCCTTCCCAATTTCGCACGCTGATAGTAAATCTATATATTCCCTTTTCTCCTCTCAACTCCAATTCCATTAATCTAGAGAAGCTTTTAAGGGTAGCCAGAAGCCCTGAAAATTCTTAGGAAATAACAAAAACAGTTCAAACAGAACATAGACCTTTTCTATGTCTCTAAAGTAACTAAAAACCTTGCATTTTTATAGCTTCAGCTTTTCTTGGCTGTTGATTATGCTGTGCAGAGCTTCTAATCCTCTCACCAGAGGAAGAATCAAACCAAGGTACATATATCATAATAAATTTAGTTTAATGAATGTGGCCAGTAAGGGGAGGAAGAAGTAACAACAAGGAATTTGGTGTGATTCTCAAGAGGCTCCTGTGTAATCAGGCAAGCATGCAGTAATTCCATCGAGTGGCAATCATTCATTTGAGGGATAAATCTAATTGCTAGGAACTCAATGCACAATAGAGAGGAAGAGAAGGAGTAGGAGAAGCAAAGGTACAACTGTGGATGGAGAAACGGGGAGGCAGCTGGCAGTTCCCGGAGTAGAAATCGTCTTGCTGCAGAAGGAAAGAGACCTAAATTCATAGCTTGGGTAGCAGCAGCAGTGGAACAGTCTCTTGTCTTAGCAGGGCTGTCTTCAAGTAGATGTTAATGTGCTGCTAAAAATAACCCTCTCTATTGAAATGGAAGCAACGTGTCCCGGTCTGTCCAGAGCTGGATTCCTTCCGGCACCGGGCACAACAAAACAGGAGGCCAGTGGCACGCCAGCCCGTCTCCCTCAGGAGCCCTTGCTAAGGAGTGGAGGCCGCTAAGTAGGAGGCTTGCCTAGGCAGTCAGTCTTTCTGGGCTCATCAGCCAGGCACTCCCGGCCACAGAGACGCTGCCCTGCAGAGCGCATCACCCAGCCTGCCTCCTGGAGGCTCAGGTACATCAGAGAGGAGTGCCTGGTGTCTGCATTCTTCCTGCAGGGATGGGAGTAGCCACAAAGGATGCCAATGACCCTGTCCAGGCACCACACGACCAGGGAAGACACAGGCTGACTTCGGAAGCGCCTGTTCCAGCAGAGGCATCCATGACCATTCTGGAGGGAAGAAACTTATCTGTAGCCTCCCGCCAAATATCGTGGTAGACAATGTCTCTTGTACCTCGGCATTCCCCTCTTTTCTTATACAGGAGGCAGGAAACAAATTCCAGTTTTGGCATTCTTGTGGCTCCTGGGTATAATTATAGGAACATGTCTGCAGATACCTCACGGGGGAATGCTTGGCAACTTTTCCAAGTTAAACACCTGGTATTGGAGAAGTAAAGGTTTTATCTTGGGATCACCTGTGATTTTAAATGCTATCTTTTGTACAACTAAATCGTTCTTCTCAGGTTAAAAAAAATCAAAAGTCCTTAAGTGAATGGCAGGGGAGGTGGGCAAGAGGCAGAGGAAAGGATGGAGAGAAGAGCCAGGTACTCTGAGGCCATGACAGCAACATACCCTTTTCTGCTTCTGGGTGAGCTGCTCCAGCTCCTGCTCCTTACATAACAGTTTCTGTTCCAGCTCTTGACTGCGGGCTTGAAACCTCTCTGTGTCCTGCCAAGCCAGAAAGAGGGATACACAGGACCCAAATGTAGCATCCCTGGGTTATAGATTTCTTTTCCCACCTTGAACCTACTCAACATCAAAACCCATCCTATTAGACCACGGGGCTTTTCCCATAGCACTGCAGGGCTCTGGTAACCTGCCTGCCCCATCAGGGCAGACCAAATGAGACAGAGAGAGTGCAAGCACTTAGTGAGGCAGGATGCAAACTCCCAGCAAGCACGGCCATGTCCAGTGACTGTGCACCGCCACCCTCCTCTCTACCAGAAAAAGGAGCAGTGTCAGCCAACGGTGGGATACTGAACGGGGAGAGTTGGGGCCTGAGTTCAAACATCAGGCCTTGGTCTCCTCATGTGCAAACTGGGGGAGGCAGATGACCCCTCGGACGCCTTCCGACCTGGATACTCTGTTCGAGGTTGGGCACTGGCATCGGATCCCTTAAATTGGCCTCACTCTGGAAACACAGGGCCATTACCTGTTCCTCTTGAGGGTCTAAGTGTTCATACTTTCCCGCTGTGATTGAAGTCTCCCGGGCCCTGCTCCGCAGGATGTTTTAATATCTGCTCCTTCCCTAGGCTGGGTTTTCCCCACAGAGAGGTGTTGAAGCAGGTGAGAAGGGGCCTGGCTGTGGGATGAGGAGGGAAGCGTGTGGGCCGTCGGGTGCCTGATGCTCTCAGCAGAGCCAGATCTGTGGTGTAAGGGCCCTGAGCCGAGCGGGACACAACTTGGGTTCTGGCCCCGGCTTCACCCAACTAACTTGCTTCATTCTTCTGGATCACTGTTTGTTCACAGAATAGAAACAAAAATACCCATGCCATCTGCAGCACTGCACTTGCCTGAAGGCGGAATGGAGGCACAAAATGTGCAGGAAGAGAGGAAACCATTGTAACTGCCATATAACTCACTACCGGAGCCCCCTGGGGTTCCTGAGATACGGAAGGACTCTCTCCCAAGGAGGACAGCGTGGGATGCTGCACTAGACGGGTGTCCTGGCATGACAGCGGCCGCAGCACGGTGGTGGAGCACGGCCCCCTCGGGCCAGAGGCCTTTGGACACCTCCACTCAAAGGCTCAGGGTGCTTCCTTGTGCATCCTCTGTTGATGTGACCAGGTTCTTCTGCCCATTTTTAGGCAGGTAAATGGGCAGAAGAACCACAGGGACAGCCTGTGATTATCCTCATGTTAACCACATGAATGGCAGAGGTATGATCTGACCAGAGAGCACCTGCTCCCAACATTTGCTTCCAGAGAATCAGCCCCAGAGAATCTGCCTCCTTCAGCTTGGCTGCTGCTCCCCGTGAAAAATGCTGGGAGCAGCGAGAGGCTCCAGGATCCCCGTGATGATGTGGCTGCACCCCCAATGGGCCTACAGAGCATCCTCACAATGCACCAGGACAGAGCGTTGAGGTGGTCTGGCATCACATCCTGGGGTTGGAAGGTGCAAGTGATTAGGTACTTCCTTCATGGTCAGACAAACTGATACGTGTCAAGCCAGGACCCAAATTCTGGTCCGAGGGTTCAACCTTTTCCGTGATGTCAGAAACTGTAGCACCACTATCCTTGATCTATCGCCAGGCAAAAGCCTTTGTATCTAATGGCTTAATAGTGCTGCAAAAACATCTGAGCAGTTTCCATGTTCATGCAAAAGGCATAAATCTAAGCACTGAGCTTTAAAGGCATTTGGTGTCAAGAGGGCAGAAGGAGGGAGCAGAAGGGGACAGGGAGGCTGGATCACCTGCAGTGACACAAACTTGTCCTTGAATTTTATTCCTGTGACCTCTGCCCTTGCCCATCCCCCATGCCCTGGCCCAGCATTTGCTTCTGAAATCACGTCTTTTCCTTTAGCTAGGACCTCTGACCTGTAGTCATGGCCCGGGCAGAGGGGACAAGATGCCCCATGGAGCTCAGCCTCTCTGTGCAGGGTGTCATTTGGGATAAAGAGGGTGACTGTCCTATGGCAGGGAGGTGGGGTGGGGAGCTGCTGTTCTCAGAAACGATTGTGGGGTCTGCTGGTGAGAAGTGTGTGAGTTCTGTCTGCCATCAACCAGGTTGAGGGGCAGGAGCAGCCTGAATGCTTTCAGGCTCTACAAGAGGGAGGAGGCCTGGAAATGCTGACAAGCCTCCAGAGGGCGCTAATTGGAGGACATGACCAGATTTTCTTGAAAAGCATTCCGATTCCCTCTCAGTTTGAATGACATCTGTGATAATAAACGGAGCAGTGGTGTTGATAATCTGAGGCAGCATAAAACTTAAAATTGGTTCAAGAGAAGGGGTTGTGATAACACTCAGGCTTAGTGTTGAGCGGCAAGGGAAGCTGCCATCTAAGATCATAGTCTTTTCTGCTGAGAACCCATCAAGTAGATAGCCCCAAAATGGGTACTAGAGAGTTCTCTGAAGCTTTTTTTTTTTGTTTTTTTTTGAGATGGAGTCTTGCTCTCTCGCCCAGGCTGGAGTGCAGTGGCCTTTTTTTTTTTAAATTTAGTTTTATGAACATGTTTCCAGAAGGATCCTGCTTACCTTGGCAAAGAAGAGGATTTTGCCAATCCTGACTTCTTGAGACAAATGGCAGGGCTTGGGAAGGGGCTGATAAGGGTCAGACCAGGAAGAGGGAAGGGAGTTATCCATTTCCTCAATGGTATCTGTGGAAGGTGGGATTGATTTGTTTTTTCTTGGCTATGAAATTTTCCATGTGCCTAAGGGTAAAGGATGGGTAGCACAGGCTCTAACGCTTGTCCACTTAGGAGAGCTGCTGGACACAGGGTGAACTGGCTGGTGCATTTGGGTGGGCCTGCCATATAATTCTAGGAACAGTCAATGTCAGATCAAATTTAACAGGGAAAGCATGAACCTCCATTCTTTCGTTCATTCACTTATTCATTCATTCATTCATTTAACAAATATTTGTTGAGCACCTGGTATGTTCCAGGCATTGTCTATGTGCTGAGGATACCTTAGTTAATAAAAGATAAAAATCTCTGCTCTTTTGCAACTTATATGTTAGCAGGAGAAGATAGACACTCAATGAAAATAAACAAGGATATTACATGTCCTGTGTGAAGGTGATAAATGTCTTGACAAAAAAACACAGCAGAGAAAGAGGGAATCAACAGTGCATGGACAGAGGCACCACAATCTTAAATTTGGGGGAGACAGAGCAGATAGGTCAAGCTGGCCTCAGAGCCAAGCCTGGGGAGTGCACACTTACCTTCAGGAGAAACTGCTCCTTCTCACTTTTGATTTGCTGTTCCATTTCCTCATAGAGATGCTGGATTTCTTCATCATAAGCAGCAATTTTCCTAAAGAGGTGGCAAAAGGAGAGTCTGCATTGAGGTTCCCCTATCCCACAGTGACAGCTCCTGGAGCTCAGACACCAGTCCCCCACTCTGGAGCTGTGGGTGTGGGGGTGACAGCATCGGTCAGGTCGGTCAAGGCTACAAGATCAGTCCCTCAGGATCAGCTAACCCAACAAGGGATGCAGACCACAGAGGCCTTGTGGCACCTGCCCCTACAACTGGTAGGTTTCACATGGCCTCTTCTCCTCCCATCCCCCAGCCATCACTCCTAGATGATCCCTGTGCTCCTCAGTGAAGTTTCCCTGGACCATCTCCCTTTATTGTACTTTATTTCAACACAAGCCTACAGGCCTCTGCCAGACATATCATCCCTGTTCCTGCTGATCCCTACGCTCATAGACCATATGAAGTTACATTGTGTGGGTTTCTTTCCTGTTGTTTCCTGGTTTATCTTGTCCCTGTCTGCATGCTTTCTCTCTGCCTGTCCACATCAGGACCCTCTATCACTGCACTCTCAGAGGACTCTCCCTGTATGCTTGAGTTTGTGTGATCCATGTTTCTCATGAGATTCTCAAGAGATTCCATGATGATGACAACAAGAGCTACCACACCCCCCACCACAAAGCAAAAGGCACGATGTCTAGTGCCCGTGCCATCTCAGGCTCCAGGGCACAAGCAGACAGTGCGACACAGGTGAGGCTGGTTGGAGGATGGCGATGACAATGAGATGTCCTCATCCCCACTCTTCTTCTCAGCATCCTCTCCCCACTCTTTCCTCTCCCCACCCAGGAAGTGAGTACCTAGGCACTCTGCTCCTATAGGGAGACGAAGACAAACGCAGCTATGGGAACAAGGTTTGTAGGTCATCCCCAGGGACGACCCTTTTCTGTTTCTCCCTCTCCCCATGATACATCCAACTTCTAATGCCCCTCCAAATTCAAACAGGAAAGATCTGGTATTAGCATTGGAACTGAAACTGGGAGTTATCACACTGAGTTACTGACTTTCCCAGGTAGTTGCATTTTCATGCCTTTTTTGCTGACCATGCAGTGAAAGACCCTCTTTGTGGCCCCTACTCCCGATCCTCTCCCTATCCTGTTCAGGAAACTCCAGGCTCTGTGAACAGGCTCATGTGGCTCTCAAGACCTGTTCTGAACATGCAACAGACACACACACACACACACACACACACACACACATTTGGCCCCTGCCATTCTAAACTTAAATGATGGTAAGCCCGCTGTGCCCTTTATTTAAGAGACTTCAATAATTGAAGTTCTCAATTTTAAGAAGTACTAGGAAGATTTCTGAACTGAACACAAAGGATGGGAAGATATTTATTCCCCTGAGCCCTCCATCATTTTAACCCCTACCTCCCAGGTCCACCTGGGCCTCCAATCCAGGACCAGACCTTCTCTGCTGTCCAAGGCTTTGCCACAACCCAATTTCTGCCCCTTTCTCATCTGCCACCTGTTGGGAGAGCATTTTCACCATGTGCACAGGTGAACAATGAACAGGAGTCATTTTGATTGGCATCCTTCCAGCTTTACAGAAACCACAGATCTGACCCAGACAAAGGAACAGTGTGTGAGACTCCATGGTCAGGGACATTCATCACAGAGCACAGCCTTGGAGTTGCCTTGCTTGGCAGCACCCCCAAGACCAGAAACTTGATTTTGAGCGACTGTACAATAATGACCCAGGGTGGGCTCAGCAGGAGATGACAGTCCTCCCAGACCTTCGCAAGCCGGGACCCTGTCTTTATGGATACGTCCTGCATCCCTTACTCTTTTTGGCTAAGAGTAAGAAATCTCTTCTTGTTAAATGACCGATGTTTGGGATGGTTACTTTTGCTCTGAGTTAACTCATAAGAATTAAAACAAAATCTTGGAGGAAAAGTAAGGAAAAAGGCTCATGCTGTTGACCCTGATACTTCAGTGACAGAAGCAGATACAGTTTGAAGGAACTTTCAGAAAGCAGGATGATTTCTCTTGGTCCCTGGAATTATCTTCCTGTGTTTGAAGAAACTCAGATGCTAGATGGTAAATGATATCAAGGAAAACTCTAGACAGAGATTCCAGCTATATAAATACTGTAAAACTAATAAAGTAAGATGAGAGAAACTTAAACATTGATTTGGCTCTGCTAAAGCAATTCATATAAAGTTATTCATATAAATGGCTTACCATTTATTTCTAATAACCATGCAGGGCATTAATTCTATAATATAATTAAGTGTGCTATATTAACTTTGATCTATGTCTTATTTGATTAAATTAACACACTCTAAGTTTTTCATGCTTGCATACCAGCTTGCTGGTATGTGAATTAAGTTATTTTACAAGCCACTAAAAAATAACTGGCAGGAAGATAGATACAGTGTTTGAAGAGTGCCTCCTCCTAGCCCTCACTCACAAAGGCTAGGCCTACTGCAAAGAAGCGCTGGGATTCCAGGTGGGCATCCGAGATCCTGGGCCCAACCAGACTCATATATGCAACCAAGTTTTTGGAAAGCTGGCCTGCTGTGAAACTCTCCAGGCTTGAACGACTATGACAAGACTGGGTTAGAACACACTAATCCCAGGAATGGGGAAGATTAAGGTGCTGTGCATACCAGTCATGTCACTAAACCAGTGCAGGGATGAGACGACTTGCATTCGGATCCCAGAACCAGCTCCTTTCCTCAGTGTGACCTTGGGCAAGTGCTCTGACCTCCTCACATCCTGGGATGGTACCTGCCCTGTGTTCCTCCCTACATTGTCATAAAGAACACACGAGAGTGGATGTGGAAAGTGTCAGAACCACAGAGCCCTCAGTCAATGTAAGGGATGATTTATTGTTGTCATTACAATCACGGGCTGTGGAGGGCAAAGGGCAGTGCTCCCCAAGGGGAAGAGAGTCTTGGTTTCAAGGATGAAAGACCTGCTGGGTTTGGAAAGGCTGATGCAATTGGGAAGATGAAGAAGAAATAGCTCAGTGAATAAAAGTGCCTGTCAAACCAATCCATTAGAGACCTAGACTGTGTGTGAGCAGGAGCCAGGAGCCAGGAGCCCGTGTCTGCAGGAGCCCTGCAGTGGCTGTGCGGGCAGTGGCAGCAAGAGACACTAAAAAGATGTGCACATATGGTGAGTCACATTCAGCAAGGCTCGCCACATTCCGCCATCAGGGGAAAGAGACAACTCATCATGTTTGCTCATCATATACATCCTTGTTGCCACAATTTCTAAAATCACTTATATTGCCTAATGCATATAAACAGACTTTGAAGTCTTCTCTGTGAAGATTTTGCCATCTATTCCAACCCTCATGACCCCTTCTCTGAACTCTGATGACAGCAGATGTCTTCATTTGATCATTTAACAATTAATCTTAAATAGTCCTGAACAACTGTTTCATTTGGGTTCGTGTTGTCTCAATTAGATTATAAACACGCAGGCATTTATGTCACCCGCAGGGCCTGAACTCAAAATGTTAATGCCAAAAACCTGTAAAAACTCAATTTACAATTTTGGGTACCAAACTCAGAAGCTCATGGACCATTTTGAGGGAACACTAGATACCATGTGAGTTAAAGAACTTCAGAGTTGGAAGGTCTGTCTGATCTAACTACCTGTTTCTCCGGTGTTAAAAATCTTGTGACAATACCATGTCAAGTACTTACCCAGACTAGGTTAGAACATACCCAGTGACAGGGAACTTGCTGTTTCTCTAAGGAGTTATTTCATCTTTGGGATATTCTGGCTCACAGAAATCTGTCTTTCCACGACCTTACTCTTCTGCATAAAAGCCTTTCATGTATTTTAGAACGGCATCAAGACTTCAAGGGTTCAGGTCATACCTCTCCACTTCCTGCAACTGTGTCTCACGTGGATTTTTTACAAATCCCTTTACAATTCCCTTCATGCTTCTTCAAATGGGCTGCAATGATCTTTCTCAAGCTATGGGAGTGCCAAACTGAATGTCCAGTGTATGAGTCTGACGTGTGCAGATTAGAGCTATTTCCTCTCTTGTTCCAGATGCTGCATAACTATTCATACAGCCTAAAACCCCATTAACTTTTCTTGGCAGCCACATTACAGTGGATGTGTGCTGAACCCATTTGCCAACTACAATCTCTAAATCTTAGGTCTGTGTGATCATTTTTGTTTTAAAGATGGTACTACTGAATCGTATCTCCTCTACTTTGTGCTTCTGCCATTGGCGTTTTGAGCACAGAGCAACATCTCAAATGTAATTCTGTTAGATTTTGTGTTTGCTAGTTCTAGTCCATCTTTCCAGCCCGTCACTATGCTAACAGGTCTCAGTTGGTCATGTGGTGTATTCAGTGACTTTCCAAGTTTTGTTGACATTTTAAATCTTCAATCAGGATGCAGGCTAAATAATCTATAATGTTGGTTTTTGTCATTTAATGTATCTGAGAGTTATTTAAAAGGCAGTTTATTAAAAAAGGTACAAGCTATTGGTTTCTAGTTTTATTATATTATACAAAGAAATGGTTTTGGAATCTATTGGTTATCTTTCCTCTGTAGCCACAAACATGACCAATTTTTGCACAACTTCTATGAGAGGGACATATATTCTATTTGTAAGGCACACAATTCTATATTCATCTCTAAAGTGTGTTCATTGATGGTTTCACATACTTTAATCTTCCACGTACTTTTGCCTGACTAATGTGTCAAATCTGAAGCAAATTTGTTAAAGTCTAAAGTCTTTTTTTTTTATTATTAAGTTTTCTTTATTTTTTCTAAAAGCTTCTGCCATATGTATCTTGCTGTTGTGTTATTTGGTGCATAAAGCTTAATGTATGTTGTATCTTCTTTATGGATGGAACTTTTTTCATTACTTCAAAATATTCCCTTTTTATCTTCCTTTACTCATGCCATTGGAAAAATGTTAGACAAAATGAGGACCACAATCTGTAGCAGAGACCTCTGAGATGTTCATTAGTGACATGTAGGCATAGCCATTCAACCTGTCTTCTCTTAGCCATTCTCAAAACA